GGGAAACTGGGAGGAGTGAGGAGCAGCCCTGAGGCGCCCCTCGACACAGGGGACACAGGAAGGTCCTGGTCCCGAAGGAAGGGGAGGGAGAGACTGGGGAAGACCAGAGACAAGGACACGGGAAGCCATGCCCCGAAGGCGGGGCAAGGAGGGGTGGCCAAGACGGTGGTGCCACAGGAGAGTCTCGTGAGACAGGAGGCGACACGAACAGGGGGCAGACTCAGGACCAGACCTGGACGCAGCAGCAAACACCTGACCTGACGCTGCTACCTGACCGGACGCAGGGACAGGAGGAGACTCAGTGGTCAGGGTGTAGAGGCTCGACCCCGGCCGACGCGAGAACGTGGCCAGGTGCCGGCCTGTGCGTGCGTCTGTGCAGTGGGTCACCCGCTGACTCGCAGGAGTGAACTGGTGAACCCCCGCATCCTGCAGGTCTGCACCACTCACCAAGTTCGTCGAGAACGAGGGGAGGTACAGGCCAGACAGGGTGCCCGAGGGGGCAGCGGGACACGGGAGGACAGTGGAGAAGTGAGCGAGGACAGGACCCCCAGAGGGGTCAGCCAGGGAGACTGCAACCGGCCGACCAAGCGCCGTGAGTGTGGTGCGGTCCCGAAAGAAGGAGCGAGAAGCCCCAGAGTCAAGTGTAAAGGTGAGGGAGGCCGAAGCCAACGCGGTACCTGAGAGCGCAGCCTCACCCGCACCTGAGGAAGCAGACTCACTAGCACCTAGAGCAGCAGCCGCACCTGGACCTGGAGCAGGAGACTCACTAGCACCCAGAGCAGCAGCAGCCTCACCAGTAGCTAGAGCAGCAGGTCCTATACCCGGGTCAGGCGGGACGCACAGGTGACCGGCACGGTCAGCACTAGTAGGCAATGCATACATGGCAGTGAGAATAGCATCATAGTCAAGAGCAAATATATCTACCCCATGCCTAAGCAACTCCACCCAGTCGGGGAGCTCAGCCTCGTCGCCAAACACGGTACGCCAGGCGTCGCTCAGACGGGCGAAGCAGCGGGACTGTGTATGACTAGGTGTCCCACAAGGCTGACCAGTCCGAGCACCAGTGAGAATCACGTAAGAGCAGCGAACAGAACTGAGAGACCCTCCACTCTGAGCGTACCACTCACGAAGCTGCTGAGGCGTGAGAGACGCGCGGGGGGGTCGCGGGAGCTGCATCTGGCCGCCACCAGTAGTAGAAGCAGCAGGAGTGGTAGCAGTAGTAGCGCCACCACCCCTACAGCCCCAACCAGCGTACCACTCACGCAGCTGCTGGGGCGTGAGGGACTCACGCAGACGTCGATGGGGCTGCATCTGGCTCCAGCAGTAGAGGCAGGAGCAGGAGTAGCAGCAGTAAGGCAGGCAGCCAGGCAAGCCAAAAAGGGAGGCAGGCAGGCAAGCAGGCGACGCGCAGCGTGCTAGCAGGGCAGGGGCTCACCAGTGGTGGGTAGAGTAGGCTCGGCAACTCAGCGGCTCGGCAGCACGGCGGCTCTGCGGCTCGGGCGACTCGGGCGGCTCGGCGGCAGGGCGGCTCGGCAGCAACTGCAGCTCGGCAGCTCGGCGACCCGGCGGCGCGGCTGCTGGGAGGCTCGGGTGTAGAGCGGCTCGGCGGCGAGGCGGCTCGGCTGCAGGGCAGCTCGAGAAGAAGGAGGAGGAGAAGCAGGGGAGACCACACACCTGCCACCCCTCAGCTGGCCTCTCCCGTCGCCTGTCGAGGCAACCTGAGGGGGCCGCTTGCGGCTCGGGCGGCTCGGGCGGCTCGGGCGGCTCAGGCTGTCAGCGGCACAGGCGGCTCGGGCGGCTCGGCTCCTCAGCTGCGCAGACGGCTCGGGCGGCTCAGGCTGCACGGCGGCTAACGGGCGGCGTGGGGGGCCGGGACGGCGGCGTGCAGCAGGGACGGGCGGCGCACGGGCGGTGTGAGGCCGGGACGGGTGAGGGGCCAGGACGGGTGGCGTCCTGGCGCCAAGGGGCCGAGACAGGAGAGCGCGGCCGGGGCGGGCGGCACAGGGCGGCCTGGGGCCGGGTCGGGCGGCGCGCGGGCGGTGAGGGGCCGGGACGGGCGCGCGCGGGTGGCTAGGGGCCGGGACGGGTGCGCGCGGGTGGCTAGGGGCCGGGACGGGCGCGCGCGGGTGGCTAGGGGCCAGGACGGGCGGCGCGCGGGCGGCTAGGGGCCTGAACGGGCGGCGCGCGAGCGGCTAGGGGCCGGGACGGGCGGCGCGCGGGCGGCTAGGGGCCTGAACGGGCGGCGCGCGAGCGGCTAGGGGCCGGGACGGGCGGCGCGCGGGCGGCAAAGGGCCGGGACGGGCGGCGCGCGGGCGGCTAGGGGCCTGAACGGGCGCGCGCGGGCGGCTAGGGGGCCGCAGGGCAGGCCGAAAGAGTGAGAGCGAGGGCCCGGAGCGCGCTCCGGGCAGAAAAAAAAAAAAAAAAAAGTGGTGGGCCCTAAGCACAGCTCCCACGGGGGAACCTGCTCGATACCATGTGGAAAATAGAACGAGAATGCACTATGAAAGAGTTGGGTACAAATAGCAAAACCCTAATTGGGTTGTACCCCCTATGGGATACCCCACTGTAGCCTACACAACAGCATAAGCTACATATATGTTCTGACACTTTACGTCGCACCGTTCGTAAGTAGACGGGTGTTGAGTCCGTGGCGATTCGCGCGCAGAACATCCTCCGCGTGGGGAGAGCAAGTCGATGAGCTGTATATAGGACGGGAGGTACAGATGCAGAAAGGGACAGATGGAGAAAAGAAGGGGATAGATGCAGGCCGAGACGGTATATCTGGACAGATAGTAGCTTGAATAGATACTTCCTATACTATTTTATTACATACACAGAAGGAAGAGCATACGGAAAACGCTAGTTGATGCGTGAGGATTACTCAGAGACACAAGCTGCAGGCTGGACTGGAAGAAGCTGGGAAAGTTGTGTGAACAATGAGCTACGCAACTAGCGTGTTGTGTGAATTCGAAAGAGAGATGCTTCTGGAGCTCCAAAGTGTGATGATGTGTCTTCACGGATGCCGTAGATTTATGGTACTAGCCTACATCACACCGGTAATTGGTTAGTAAAAAAACATGAAGGTGAGGATATCTCAATTCCGGTTACCTAAGCTGTGATCCGGGGAAGCCACGTCACTCACACAGAATCTGAACACTTAATTTGATTGGGCGTGACATGGAACTGTATGCCAGCTGCCAGTTTCGATTCTGGGTTGTGCCTTCGCGAGCCTCGTTTGAGTTTGTATCCCAGTTACTGTGCTCGCAATGTTCGACAATGCCTGCGTGATTCGTGTGCTTACTAGTGTTCATCAATCATACACCAGCAAGGGAGACTCCCGAGATTTGGTCGTGACCAGGTGTACTGTTCGGTGAAGATGTTTCAAAACTGATGTGTGAAATTCGCGGCTCGGGTAACCCACGTATACAAAATTCGCGCCCCAGCTGACCCACGTAGCCAAAATCCACGGCTCGGAAGCCAGCTTGTATTCGAAATTGGTGCATGTTGCGGTTTTCACTCAGTGCTTTTCGGATACTTTTCAGGTAGGTTTCTGCAACTTTCCTGCAGCCTTTAGACTTAAACTCGATTTTGAGCCAAACCCTTTTTCGCGATGGTGCTTAAAGTTTACAAGGTCATGACCGATGATGTGCTGACCCATGATTGGTCGTTGCTAAGGGATACCAGGGTAGAAAGAGCGGTAAGATCGATTTGGAATCAGGAGGTTATCGGAAAAGCAGATAACTCCCGTGCTATGGTAAGGTTACACTGCATAATATCTGCTATGGGTTGACTCACCCCAACCGTTAGTTCTACGTCATACTGCATAATATCTACCACCATACTCCTTGAGCGGATTTATTGGCTGGGTCACTGTAATAGTGTGGCAGCCGAATGCTGCCAAGTACAGTGCAGGTGGGCGGAAGTCAAGCGCCACCTCACCAATTGTTCGTATTGGTCAAACGCCTCAACCTGCAGCTGGACGACTAGGTCCTGACGCGCAGCCCAACACAAACCCTCGCGCAAAAATTACGAAACGCAGAACACCGAAGTTCCGACCGCTCGCCGACTTCACCAACAACACCGACGAAATTACAGCCCCGTAACCAAGCTCGCCGTCCAATCCCGTACCGCAATAATTCTCTGAATTTCACGGTAGGTTCATTTCAAAGGGGTTGGGTTACCATTGAGAAATTCAGAGAGAGTCGCGACTTGGGAGTGCGACTCGATATTTGAATGTGCTCTATAAAATTGTACTGTGAAATTTGTGAAGTCATAGTGCGATTTCCAGAGAACTCCACAGAGCACTCTATCCTCGTTTTCCTAGCCTACTAAGGCTGCTACTGTCAAACTTATATTATATAGCTTGTTTAGGCTATAGTGGGGTAGACACTATGGGGAATAGCTTCCTAGGGTTTCCTACTTGTACCCAACCTTGTGCTAGTTCATTCATTCCTCGTTTCTTCACATGGTATAGAGCAGGCTCCCTAGTGGGAACGCTTCCTTGGGCCCACCACTAAATTTTTTTTCTGACTGGAGCGTCAGTCGCTCCTGCCCGAGGCGCACCTTGTTCGCCGCCCTTCCAGGCCCCCTAGTGGCCCCTAGCGGCCTCGTCGCCGCCCCTACGCGGCCCCGTCGCCGCCCCTAGCGGCCCCGTCGCCGCCCCTAGCGGCCCCGTCGCCGCTCCCCTTCCTACGCGGCCCCGTCGCCGCCACTACGCAGCCCTGTCGCCGACCCAACACGGCCCCGTCGCCGCCCCTAGCGGCCCTGTCGCCGCTCCCCTACATACGCGGCCCCGTAGCCGTCCCTAGCGGCCTCGTCGCCGCCCCTACGCGGCCCTGTCACCGCCCCTAACGGCCCCGTCGCCGCCCCTAGCGGCCCCGTCGCCGCTCCCCCTCCTACGCGGCCCCGTCGCCGCCACTACACGGCCCCGTCGCCGCCTCTACGCGACCCCGTAGCCGCCCCTAGCGGCCCCGTCGCCGCTCCCCTCCCTACGCAGCCCCATGGCCGCCCCTAGCGGCCCCATCGCCGCCTCTACCGGCCCCGTCGCCGCCTCTACTGAGCAGCCCAGCAGCTGAGCCGCCCAACAGCAGAGCCGCCGAGCCGCCCAGCAGCCGAGCCGCCTAGCCGCCGAGCCGCCCAGCAACCGAGCCGCCGAGCCGCCCGACAGCCAAGTCGCCCAACGGCCGAGCCGCCGAGCCGCCCAGCAACCAAGCCGCGAAGCCGCCCAACAGCCGAACCGCCCGACAGCCGAGCCGCTCGACAGCCGAGCCGCCCAGCAGCCGAGCCGCCCAGCCGCCGAGCCGCCCAGCAGCCAGCTGCCGTGCCGCCCTGCCGTCGAGCCGCTACTGTTCCTACCGGCACGCCCCGACCCTACTTACTCGGACTGGTGAGATCACTCCCTGTTAGGCCACTGCAGTCATGGCTACCCCCAGTGTTCTTACCTTTGATGCTGAGGGTCGTGCTGTTGACTTTGAGGTCTGGGTCGATGACCTCCAGCTGTTCCTACAGTGCGATAGGGCAGACGGACTCTCCCTGTTCGATCTCACCTCTGGTGCTTCCCCTGCCCCGCCTGCTGATGCTGACAGCACTGTTCGCTCACAGTGGGCCACACGCGATGCTGCTGCCCGTCTTGCTGTGCGTCGCCACTTACCGACCACTGAGCGTACGCACTTTAGCCAGTACAAGAGTGCTCAGACCTTGTACGATGCTGTAGTTGCACGCTACTCTTCCCCTGCCACTGCTGCGCTGAGCCGCCTCATGCAACCGTACCTCTTCCCTGACCTTGCTGCCTTTCCCATAGTCGCTGACCTCATTACGCACCTCCGCACTAGTGACACTCGCTACCGCGCTGCGCTTCCTGCTGAGTTCTGTGCCAAGAACCCCCCCCCCCCCATGTACATCACCCTCTACTACATAGTCACCCGGCTCCCTGACTCCCTTCGCTTAGTCAGGGACCACTTCCTCTCAATTTGCCCCACCACACTCACCGTTGACCTCCTCGAGGAGCGCCTCCTAGCAGCAGAGAAGAGCATAGTCACTGTAGGAGCCTCTCGTGGTGACCCTCGCACCCCCGTCTTTGAGGGGTGTTCCCCTTCCCCCCTCTTGCCCTCTGTTGCTTTTGCTGCTGCGGCCGACCTCGTTGGTTTCGAGTCGGTCGGCGCTGCGTCTGCCCCTAGCGGGAGACGCTGCACCGGCAAGGGCAAGGGGGGCAAGGGCGCTGGAGGGGCTGGGGGGGGCGGTGGAGGTGGTGGTGGAGGCAGTGGACGGGGTGGGGGTGGTGGTGGGAGTGGTGGCGGGGGTGGCGGTGTCGGTGGCAGCAGTGGAGGCGGAGGAGGCGGCGGTGGTGGCGGAGGGAGCGGAGGCGGCGGAGGTGGCAGAGGCGGCGGAGGTGGCGGAGGCGGCGGAGGTGGCGGAGGCGGCGGCGTCAGCGGTGGAGCTGGTCGAGGCTCTGCGTAGAGGAGTGGGTCCGGTGGTGGTCCACGCCAGCAGCAGCAGCGCAGTCGTGAGTGGTACGCTGCGCGTCAGCGCGGTAGGGGCACTGGTCCCTGCACCTACGTCCTCCATACCGGCGACCGCGCTAGTGAGCAGTGCGGGGGCCCGCACTCCACCCAGCGCTGCTTCGGCCGCCTGACGGACGCGTGGAGCCACCAGTTCCCTGAGGCCTCTGAGATCCCTCGCTGGGGAGAGCTGTCTAGGGCGGGGGTTGCTATCTTTGATCTTGATTATGATGCTATTTTTGCTGGCATATATGCTGTGTCTGATAGTGTTGAGGGTGACTCTTACCTGTGTGTTCCACCTGACCCGGGCATTGAGGCTGCTGCTCTAGGTGCTAGCGAGGCTGCTGCTCTAGGTGCTAGTGCGTCTGCTGCCCCAGGTGCTGATGAGTCTACGCTCTCAGGTACTACGTCGGCTCAGGCCTTACACACCTTCACACTTGAATCGGGTGCTTCCCGCCCCTTCTTTCGAGACCGCACCACTCTTACGCCGCTTTGTCGGCCGGTTGCAGTCTCCCTGGCGGACCCCTCTCGGGGTCCTGTCCTTGCTAGCTTCTCCACTGTCTTACCGTGCCCGGCAGCCCCCTCTAGCACACTGTCAGGTCTCTAACTCCCCTTGTTCTCTACGAACTTGGTGAGTGGAGCTGATCTGCAGGATAGGGGGGTTGACCAGTTCACTCCTGCGAGTCAGCGGGTGACCCACTACACGTGTGCTCGGACAGGCCGACACTTGGCCACGTTCACCCGTCGGCCGGGGTCGAGCCTGTACACACTGACCACTGAGTCTCCTCCGGCTGCTGAGTCTGGCCAGGTAGTTGCGTCAAGTCAGGTGTTTGCTGCAGCGTCCAGGTCTGGTCCTGAGTCTGCTCCCTGCTCGTGTCGTCTCCTGTCCCACCAGACTCTCCTTTGGCACCACCGCCTTGGTCACCCCTCCCTGCCTCGTCTCCGAGGCATGGCCTCCCGTGTCCTTGTCTCTGGTCTCCCCCGGTCTCTCCCTCCCCTACCTCCGGGCCCTGCCCCTACCTGCGTCCCCTGCGTTGAGGGGCAACAGCGCGCCGCCCCTCACTCCTCCGAGCTTCCTCCGACAAAGGCTCCACTGCAGACTCTTCACATGGACGTGAGGGGCCCCGCCCGCGTCCGTGGCCAGGGGCACGAGCGTTACTTCCTGGTGGTGGTTGATGACTACTCGCGTTATACCACAGTCTTCCCCTTGCGCAGCAAGGGTGACGTCACTGAGGTGTTGATCGTGCACAGGGCATCCGCCAGACCTTCACGCTTCCGGCCTCTCCACAACAAAATGGGATTGATGAGCGCCGCATTGGGATGGTCATGGACGTCGCTCGTACGTCCATGATCCATGCGGCTGCCCCCCATTTTCTGTGGCCGTTTGCGGTTCAGTACGCAGTGCATCAGCTCAACCTTCAGCCCCGGGTCTCCTTCCCAGAGACCTCCCCCACCCTGCAGTGGACGGGGAAGGTTGGCGATGCGTCTACGTTTCGGGTCTGGGGATCTCGGGCGTTTGTCCGCGACTTGTCTGCGGACAAGCTGTCCCCCCGTGCTGTCCCCTGCGTCTTCCTTGGCTTCCCCACTGACGCGCCTGGGTGGCAGTTTTACCACCCCACCTCGCGCCGTGTTCTGTCCTCCCAGGACGTCACCTTTGATGAGTCGGTGCCTTACCACCGGCTCTTCCCCTACCGCAGTGCGCCCCTCCCCCCGCCGCCGCTCTTCCTTGCGCTAGGTCCTCCCCCGGTAGAACCCCTCCCCCCTCAGGGTCCTGCCCCGTCAGGTGTGTCCCAGGTAGACGCAGTCGAGCCTGTCAAGGTAGCTGTTGACTCTGGTGCTGCCAGAGGTGCTGAGCCTGCGGGTGCCCGGTCTGGAGGTGTTGAGCCTGGGGGTGCTGAGTCCAGGGGTGCGGAGCCTGGGAGTGCTGAGCCTGGGGGTGCTGAGACTAGGGGTGCTGAGTCTGAAGGTGCTGATCCTGGGGGTGATGAGCCTCGAAGTGCGGAGCCTGGGGGTGCTGGGTCTGCTCGTGTGGCCTCTCGCGGTGCTTCGTCGAGGCGGGAGCCACTCTCTCCGCAGGAGCTGCGCGAGTGGTTTGCCCGGCGCTAGAGCCGTGCTGCTGGAGCTGGAGGTGCTACTGTTGCTGCTGGTCCCAGAGGTGCTCGTACTGGCGGTTCTGGAGCTGCTAGGACTGGGGGTGCTGCTCGGGCTGCAAGAGGCACTGCTGGAGCTGCTTGCGGTACTGGAGCTGCCGGTCCTACTGGCGCTAGTGCTTCTGAGGGTGCTGGAGTTGGCGCTGTTGGAGCTGGAGGTGCTGCTAGCGCTAGTGTTGCTGCTGGGGGTACTGGTGCTGTCCCTGCTGGTTCTGGAGGCGCTGCGAGGCCGCGGCCGTACTTCGTTCCGCTCCTTGAGCAGGTTCTTGGTCTCCCGCCCACTACTGGTCCTGCTCCTCCCTTAGAGTGTCCATAGCCTGTCCAGTCGCAGTCACAGCTACAGCCCGCCTCCCCCCTACCTGCTCCTTCTCCCTACGCTGGTCCTACTGGAGGTCTTGCTGAGCGTCGTGAGCCTGTGTCTCGTCCTGCGTCGCCTGTTCGTGCTACTCGCACTAGTCGTCGTGCTCCGCGTCCTCCTGCGGTCCCAGGCACACACCAGATGGCACTGCGTCCTTCCACTGCTCCTCTACGTGTCCCGTTGCCGTCTCCTTCAGAGCCCTCTCTTCCTGTCCTTGCTGACCCAGAGTCTGACTCTCTTCGTGCTGCCAGTCCTACTGTCATGCGTCTCCTGGCTACTTTTGTCACTGACCCTTCCTTTGAGTCCACTGCTGCGTCTGCCTTGGTTGCTGAACTTGTCGACTTTGCTGTTCGCTGTCGTCTAGACTACGCTACTAGTCTTGTTGCTGAGTCTGAGTCTGTCTGTCCTCCGTCCGTCGGGGGTGAGTGTGCTCTTAGCACGGACTTCCTTGAGGACAGGCAGGAGGAGTTCCAGTGTTTTGCTGCTGCTTTGCCTCATCTCGTATCCACGCTGATTGCCCCTGAGGGAGACCCGGATGCACCAGACATCCCGACTCCTCGATCGTACGCTGAGGCGATCGAGGGTCCCTACTCCTCACAGTGGCAGTCAGCCATGGACGCAAAGATGGCTTCCTGGAAGTCCACAGGCACCTACGTCGACGAGGTTCCCCCACCTGGGGTGAACATCGTCAGTGGCATGTGGATTTTCAGGGTGAAGCGGCCGCCGGGTTCTCCGCCTGTCTTCAAGGCGCGTTACGTGGCTCGAGGCTTCAGTCAGCGGCAGGGAGTTGACTACTTTCAGACCTCTCCCACCCCGAAGATGACCACTCTTCGGGTGCTGCTGCACATAGCCGCTTAGCGCAACTACGAGCTTCACTCTCTTGACTTCAGAACAGCTTTCCTGCAGGGCAGCCTGCACGAGGAGATCTGGCTGCGCCGCCCACCTGGCTTCACTGGGTCGTTTCCTCCTGGTACCCAATGGAGCCTCCGGCGGCCAGTCTACGGTCTCCGCCAGGCGCCCTGTGAGTGGCACGACACACTGAGGACTACACTTGCGGCTCTTGGGTTTGCTCCGTCTACTGCTGACCCGTCGCTGTTTCTGCGCACCGACACCTCCTTGCCGCCGTTCTACATCCTCGTGTACGTCGACGACTTGGTCTTTGCCACTGCTGACACTGCTGGACTCGCCCACGTGAAGTTCGAGCTGCAGAAGAGACACACGTGCACAGACCTGGGTGAACTGCGCAGCTACCTTGGCTTGCAGATCACTCGGGACAGACCACAGCGCACCATTACCCTGACTCAGTCACAGATGGTGCAGCAGGTCCTTCAGCGCTTCGACTTCACGTACTCCTCGCCTCAGGCCACTCCTCTGTCTACTCGCCACTCGCTCTCAGCTCTGCCTTCGGATGAGTCCGTAGAGCCGAGTGGCCCGTACCCAGAGCTTGTTGGCTGCCTCATGTACCTGATGACCTGCACACGACCTGACCTTGCATACCCTCTTAGCATCTTGGCACCCTATGTTGCTCCTGGGATACACCGACCAGAGCACATGGCTGCAGCGAAGAGGGTGTTGCGCTACTTGTGCAGTACGTCGGGCATAGGGCTAGTGCTTGGAGGGCGACGTCGAGTGGTCCTCACAGGTCACGCAGACGCTTCTTGGGCTGGCAACCAGGCTACGCAGCGGTCATCACAGGGTTACACCTTCAGCCTTGGCTCCGGCTCTGTTTCGTGACGGTCTACCTGTTCGTCTTCTGTTCTCGGCTCCAGCTGTGAGGCTGAGATCTACGCGGGGGCCATGGCTGCACAGGAGCTACGCTGGCTCACCTACTTGCTGACTGACCTAGGAGAGCCGCCTCGTTCTCCTCCAGTTTTGTACGTAGACAACAAGGCCATGCTGGCCTTGTGTCGGGAGCACAGACTGGAGCAGAACGAAGCACATTGCTCTCTGCTACTTCCTTGCTCGTGAGCTGCAGCAGCGTGGTCAGCTGCGCCTTGCTTATGTGGCCTCTGAGGCCAACACTGCTGATATCTTTACCAAGGCACTTCCGCCTGGTGATCATCAGCGCTTCTGTACTATGCTAGGTCTTGTGCCTACTTGGCCTCACTTGCTCACTTCTTGACCTTTCTTGTACTGTGATCTTTCTATACCTGCACTTGCTTGTTTACCTTTATATAGTATCTTGCATGTGAACTGGCCTTGTGGCCTTGCTCTTGTGCTCGGATTGTGTGGTGACGTTGTGATCCACCCTGAGCTTGCTTTGCTTTGCTTGATTGGTCTTGTGACCTCTTGTTCTCCCCCACTTTGCCTATGGGGGTGTGTCAAACTTATATTATATAGCTTGTCTAGGCTATAGTGGGGTAGACACTATGGGGTATAGCTTCCTAGGGTACAGCTTCCTGGGGCAATTGGGCGCGGAAAACATCGGGGGAAGCTCCGACGTGTGTTAGGGTTGGTTCGCCCCACCACGGAACCTAAGGCGAAAGCATCTTCGACGGCGTAATGACGGCAAAATGGAAGCGCGTGTGTGAAACGGTGGAAATCGGCCTACGGTGGGGAATAGAGGCTACGGCGTGAGAAGCGGGAGAGAAATCGAGAAGAAATGTGCTAGAAGGAGGGAGAGAGAAGGAGAAGCATCGAGAATGAGATTGACGAGGGGAAAAATGTTCTTCGAGACCAAGGCGCGTTCGAGAAAGTTCGGGATTCGGACTTGCGGAGTGTTCACCGAATTCGGTTCGGTTGCGTGTGCGACTCGGGGTGAAACGAGGCGCACGCGGTTACTTGGGAAACAATTGAAGTTACGAATCGCATTTTTTGTCTTTCCTGACTATAAAACTGCTTGTACTCATTCTAGAAATTATACCAATCAGATTCTGAAAATTGCTGAAGTGTGTATTGACAACTTCAAGCAGAGCTGCGCATATCATTGGATTCGGGAGAACGTGGCGAACACGATAGGCGATAGCAAGTAGACTATTGCCGACTAAGGTGCTTACGATCCTAAGAACTGGTATCAGAGCTTGACGAACGGGCTCGTCGATCGTCGCGAATTCACTTGGTGCGCTAAGTGAAATTAGTGGAGAAGAGGAGTCGTTCACGCCTACGCTATGGGAGACGAGGCGAGTCCGGGTTCCAGTGTGATTCTTGGAGACCCGCAGTTGAAGGCTCTTCTCGAGGCCCTTGCGAGTGGCCGATTGGTGGCGAAACCGACGATCGGGCTCAGTGAATCTTAGCGCTTCAATGGAAGCAACTACAACGTGTGGCGAAAGAAGTTCATTCGAAGGGCAGAGGAGGTGGACGTCTTGCCGTACTACCGTCACGACGAGGAGACGATGGAGGGAGTTGCGCCTTCCACGACGGATACGAAGGAGAAAATAGCGGCGTTTAAAAAGCAAAGTAAGCAAGCTTTCTTTCAGCTTTGTCATTCAGTTGCCGATGGAATCGCGGTGGATTTGGACTAGTTTGCAGGGGAGCTGAACCCTGCACAGCGAGCGTGGGAGTACCTAGAGTCCACATACATGGGTACGAACGATGTCAACAAGAAGGCGATCAGGAAGCAACTGCTGACGCTGAGCATGGAGAAAGGCGAGAAAATCATCACCTACATCAATAGGGCGAAAAGCTACAACGACGATTTGCGGGTGATGGGAGCCGCGGAGATGGAGCACGAGATGATTGACTATATCATCCAAGGCCTTCCTAAGGAGTGGAAATCCGACATCGGTATGTTTACGTACCAACTGTCGGAGAGTTTGATGAAGCTGCAGGAGATTCTGCAGTCGCTTGAGACGGTGAAGGAGATGAGGAAGAAGAAAGCAGCAGCAGCAGTTACAGAATTCGACGAGGAGAGGCCGGGTATGGTGAATGCCATGAAGGCGTTTGGAGCATGCTACCAGTGTGGAAAGAGGGGGCATAAAGCGATAAACTGCTACGAAAATCCTCGAAGCAGAAACTACAAGGGGCTGTGGAGAATGATAAAGGAGAAAATGCAGGAGCGGAGTGGCAGCAGAAACGAGGTTTTGGCGGCAAGTGTGATTATTGCGGGCGCTACGGGCATCGTGCCGCAGAGTGCTACTCCAACCCGAATAGCATGAGCTACAAGGGTCCGTCGCAGCAGAGGAATGTGGCGACAAAGGCGAATGTAGTGGAAGCGGAAAAGGAGGATGTGATTTTGGGAGGAGCGCATCTCGCGAACGTGGTGCATTTACCGAAGGAGGCTCAGAAAGATGGACGTGAGAAGAGGGCGTGGTTCACGGACAGCGGATCCACCCGTCACATGACATTCAGGTCAGATTGGATGGAGAATATGAGGGAGTCGAGTGAGGATTATATACTACAAGGTAACAGTGGGAAGTTACCAGTGACAGGAGAGGGTGACGTGGTGCTGCAGAGTCCGTATGGAGAGATGAGACTGGAGAATGTGCTGCTGGTTGAGGATTTAAAGGTGAAACCTGGTCAGTCAGTCACAGCTTGATGACTTGGGGTGCAAGATATTTTATGACAGAGGCGAGGTTACAGTGTTTGGTCCTGAGTGGGAGAAGTATGCGGATGGTTATTTCAGTGACGATTTCTATGAGATGAACTTGGTCGCGATGAACGATAAGGATGAGATCTATGAGGATCCTGAGTCTACTGAGGATGATGAGAGTGAGGATTGATGGCTGCGAGTGTGGAGGCAGCAGTGAAGCAGGAAGAGGAGATAGTGATCATGGAGACAGCAGCAGTAAACGGTGGAGATGGAGACGATGTCAACACTTTTGCAGCAGCGATCGTGGTTGAAGATGAAGCAGTAAATGCGAAGTGTGTGGGAGTTGAAGTTGTGAAAGGGGACATCATGGTGAAAGGATCAAAGGCAAATGCAACTGCAAAGGGGCAAGTGCTTAAGGAGGATGAACGCGTTGAAGGGTTCGAGACCCGAGAGGTGTTGGGTGTAAAGATGCCGAGGAGAAGCGAGAGGCATAAGAAAATCTATGCGAGAGGCCATAAGCCTGTCACATACGTACATTCGGACTACGCTGTCTTCAACTTCTCGTCGCACGGTTCGCCGCGTTGATCAGTGTCGCAGGACAAACAGGTAGAAAAATACAAAATAAATTATTTTTAAGGCCGAAATGAAAGACAACATTTTTGTTTTACAATGTAAGCGAGATTAATGAGATGGCATCGTCGAGCTCGCGGGGATCCGCGCAACAGGATTTCGACACGAGCGGTCAAGATAAACAGACAAACACAACTGCAAAAAGTAAATAGTGAATCAAAACTTCCTTTCGTTTTATTTTCTCTAAATGTTCTGACAGGCTCGATTTGCGTCCTCTGATTGGCTGCGGAACTGATTCGTGCAATGATTCAGTCAAGATGCAAGATTTCCCGCCAAAAAGGGGACTGTAGAGGAGGGGATACGCCTAGGACTTATGTGAAAAATCTACTCATTGAGGAAATGGGACTCTTTTAGGAAGAGCCTCTAAGCCAGAACATCTGTACTGTACCGTACTGTACTTTCACCGCCAGTCGGGTCCAAGATCCAACAAACCAGTTCCGCGCTTCACCTGTCTCTCTTCTCTAGGGCGCAGAAACCCTAGTGTACCTTCACCGGGGAAAACCGGGCATCAACTTCCCCTTCTGCTTGTTACAATTGAGTTTTGAAATTACATGGTACACTGGTATACATTGGCAGTACAAAATGCACATTTTCTAAAACTCGCAACCCCAGTACAGGTACTTAAGGCCCGCAGCTAAAATCGTGACCCCCGTCCCAACTTGAATAAGGAATGAAACCAGTCTCAAAAACACTGTTTCAAACAATTTCTATGGGCAGAGTGAACTTATGTTATTGGCTCTCGCCACAATGGAACGTGATGGTTCCCGCCAAAAAGAACTTTGTTTCTCATTTCAGCCGTCGCATCTTTGCGTGCCGCATCCGCACGACAAACCCCAAGCAATGGTTTCCCATCGCAGGCCCAACTTCATTTTCAAGCGGTGGGGGGTGCATAACTAGATTTCCGTCACTCCCTTCATCACTAGTTTTCGCATAGCATAGTAAGTAGTATAGCTGAAAGCGCAGGCGTTTGTGCCATAGCCGCGTAATTACCGACGAGTGCGTCGATTGTCGACTTAGCAAGATTGTGAAACGTAGTAATACGTCGCCTGGCAGCGCAGTGCCAGTTTTCCCTCGTTTATCTCCCCTCGCTGCTCGTCGCACTCGCCATTGCTAATTGGGTCCGCCGTCGTCTCTCTCTAGTCCGTCCCGACGCCTTTCCGTCGCCCTCGCAAACACACTCGTGACGGCCCTCCCGTCGTTCTCACGGTCTCCCCTCCCGTCCCGTTATTATCCCGTTCACCCCTCTTGTCCCCTCGCCCTCGCGATTTCCCTCCGATCCCGTCGCCCTCCCGTTCTCCCGCCCCTCGCCTTCAATGCCCCCTCTTCCTTCCCGTCGCCCTTGCGTTATCCCTTCCTCCCCTCGCCTTCAATGTCCCCCCTTTCCTTCCCGTCGCCCTCACTATCTCCCTTCCCTCACGTTGCATTTTCCTTCCCGTCGCCCTCGCGATATCCCTTCCCCCTCCCCCCCCCTTCGTCGCCTTTCTTCTCTCTCCGCCCATTACACACCTCGTCGCCTACGCTCTTTCTCTGAAACACCCTCCTCAGCGCCCTTTGTCCCCCCCCTGCCATCACTTTTCTCGTCGCCTTCGCGCTCTCCCTCCCGTCGCCCTTGTAATTTCCCCTCCCATCCCGTCGCCTACTTCATCTCCTTTCGCTCACGTCCTCCCCTCCCATCAGCATCGCGCTCACGTTCCTCCCTCCCCTCGCAATCACGCTCACGTGCACCTGTCTTCGCATCGCCTCCGCGCTCAAGGTCTCCCCTCCCATCGCGCTCGCTATCTCCTCCCCTTTTCTCGTCGCGCTCGCTATCTCCCCCCCTCTCCCCGTCGCGCTCGCTATCTCCCCCCCTTTTCTCGTCGCACTCGCTATCTCCCCCCCTCTCCACGTCGCGCTCGCTATCTCTCTCGCGAACTCGTATCGATCCCCCATTTCCAGTCGCCCTCCGTTCCCGTCGACCTCCGTTCTGATCGCCTCCGCGATCTGATGTCATCGCCTCTCCCGTCGCCCTCCCATTTCGCGTCGCCCTCCGTTCCGATCGTCTTCGCGATCGGCTCTCACATCCCGTCGCCCTCCCGTCTATTTCGCCATCTCCCATCTGTCCTCATCGCCCTCACGATCTCACTTACCATTCCCTCACAATGCAAGTCCCCCCTCCCTTCTCATCGCCCTCACGATCTCACTTCCCATTCCCTCACGATCTCTCTCATGGAAGACGAGGCTTCCCTTCCCTTCGTGATCGTCAGCTCTCATCCCCTTCCCGTCGCCTCACTTTCTCCCATCCCCTTCCGTCGCCCTCACCTTCTCCCGTACCTTCCCGTCTTCCTGGTGTTCTCCAATGCCCTCCGTCACCCTTCCTCTCTCCCCTGCCACCCCGTCGCCAGTTCCGGTTCCTCTATCCCCATCACCCTCTTTCTCTTCATTCGCATCACCTTGCCCATCATCATTTCCCCCCGCTTTTTTTTTATTCCTCCATTCCCCGTTATTGCACCTCTCACAGGCCCCAAGTCCAAGGCCGCACATTGCTAGATGCGAATTTGGTAAAGTATAGGCACTAGCGTGTGTATTTGGCTCTCATCACGTACATGTGTGTCCGCTTGGGAGCAGAGTGAAATGTTGATAAATGTGACCTTGGTGAAGTATCGGCTCTAGTGAGTGCAGGAGTGCACGTCGCTCAACTTTGCGCCAAATTCGCACACGTACATGTGAGGGATTCTGGCTGCCAATCAGAATTGAGGAAGAACTTTCGTTCGAGGCCCACTACGAAACTCGTATGAAGGCTGAATAAAAAAGCACACAGCACTTCCAACTTTTCAAAACAATACAAAAAGACTTGAGTAATCAGGTTGGGTCCAACTAGAAGGGGGGGGTCACTATTTTAGCTACGGGCTTTAAGAGGAGGCACATCACACTGCTACCCAGGAAAACATCTAAAGCAAAACAGCCCACACAATGGAGAAATATCTCAGATACCTTCCCCACCCCAGTATACCCACTTCTTCCCAGCACTCACCTCTTCCATAAGCAGCAAATGAACTACTCACTTGAATCTAAACTGAACCCAATCAACAACGTGGTCCGTAAATTTGCACCTCCTAGAATCCATGAAGCATTCACATCTGAAATGCCCATTGTGCAACCCTCGCCTTGCTTCAAGACCGCCCTGTCTCCATGCCATGCAAGAGCAGCTCGCAAGAGCTCGCCGCTTGTTGAGGCGGCTCAAAGCCCAGTCAAGCCCGTCACTGCTGCTTGACAAAGGAGAGCAGCACACGAGGTTCCGCCATCGCCGGCTGCGCCACACCCGACGATGACTGCCCATCGCCCACAGGCTGTGCCACAGGCTCCTGCACCGCCGGTGTCGGGTTTATCCAGACTTTTGCCACGTAGGTGTTCACGGGTGCGGCGGGGGAGGCGGGGGAGCGGCGGTGGCGGCGCCGCAAAGTGGGCGCTATTCCTGTGGGGGCGGGGACAGGGTCGGCGGCATGTAGGGTGATGGTCTACTTGATGCCAGCGACCACCTGGTGCGACGCGCTGGTGACTGAGACGAACTTGAGGTTCCCGTTCTGGTGGGGTGGGGAGGAGAGGGGTGGGGTTTAGAGTGGGGTGGAGTGGAGTGGGAAAGGAAGGGAGCGGGGGCTTGTGATGAACCACTTGATGCTGGCGACCATCTGATGCGACGCGCTGATGACTGAGACGAACTTGAGGTTCGCGTTCTGGTGGGGTGAAGTGGGGTGGGGTGGGGTGGGGTGAAGTGGGGTGGGTTGGGGTGGGGAGAGAGGGGGGTGGGGGGGAGGGGAGAGGAGGTAAGTACCTGAAGCTTACGTTTTGGTAATTCAGGGAAATTAAGAACTAGGCATGGTGGCATATTGTTACAGGGCGAGATTTGAGCGAGAGGAACGTGAGGGCCCGCTACTGACCTAGAGGACCCCTCGCCTCGGAATGTGGCAGAGTGGGTCGAGGAGGGGATGAAAGGAATCTATGAGGTACCTCCAACGAGAGTGGTTCTGGGGGCTTTAGAATCGATACTGGAGTAAAGACAGACTCAAACTCGATACCTCTTTCTTTGGCAAATCTGGCCAAACACTTAATACAAAGAATATTGATACCTCTGGTTCTGAGACATCTCAAACACACGTTATTTTATCAGGCACCTCAAAACACTGAACGGCACTGAGCCTTCTCTAGGTACCTACATCTTTCTTGTTGTGCGCGTCATCCTTAGCCTCCACATCCTTATTCGTCGCCGCGTCTTTCACGCCGGACACGCCGCCAACAAGCGGATCTGCCGCAGCCGCGGGCGGAATCGAGGAGAGGAGAGCAACGACGACGACGGCGACTGCTGCTGCGACGGCACGCACAGCGAGATTCACGTGGCTGGCGATGCGATGACCCATGATTGGTCGTTATTGTTCAGAGATACCAAGCTAGGATGTGTGAATCAATCGATTGGAGTCAGGGAGGCTATTGAAAAGGCAAATTACCCTCGCACACTACAAGGGCTCACTCCCTCAGTCATATATACTTCGTAGGATCATCAGTCAGCTAGTCGTGAAGCCCCCATGCTGGTTGGGTCATGACTGGAAGTCAGGACTCGCCGCTGGCGCCAAGATTTGAATCCGTCATGACCCAATCAAAGTGGTTTGAATTGAGAAACGCGCAAAACGACGACGCGTTGATTCCCGCTCGCCAACGCCGTTTGCGCAGCGCCCATAAGAGCTTTGATGATTACGAGATTTGTGGACGCGCAAAACGGCTGCTGATTGGTTACTACGCGCAAGTGCTGGCTCGCCAATGCCATAAGTCTAGATTATCTTGACTCTGCACGCGCAAGCGACAGATAGGCTACTTGCTATAGCTATCGTTTCTAAAATATATTGATTGTGAATGCGCAAAGCGGCAGATCAAAGGCTACTAGGATTTGCTCTGGCTGTGAGCACGCAACGCGGCAGATGATAGGCTATTAGGTTCTGCTCTGGCAGTGAACGCGCAACGGGGCAGATGATAGTTGCTGGGTGAGCAGGGTGCGAGCAGAACGCATTCTGCGTTTCTGGTACATTTCGTTCTTGACACGAAGTCGGACGATCCGAAGGGGATTCACAATATTATTTAGTGAACGTACCTGGTTCATTTAGTGCGGTTTAATGCGTTAGAAACGGGTCGAGACAGTTCTGAGTTTTCACCAATACGAACCATTTGCTATCGCGTTTTGACGTACTTGACCGTAGTAAACGAACCAGGTATATTTAAATGTGACCCCGCCTTCTGTGTATCAAAAGGGTTACCGCGAGTTCGTGGATTCCCGTTCCTAAATCGGCTTCCCTCGAGACCAGGCGTTCGCTACAATTCCGAGCTCTTAACGTTCTGAACCATACTGTATTGCTCTTGGAAAGTAAAGTACCGTATATTACCGCATCATGGTGGGCACGTGCCTTAGCGGCTCTTCGGGTTGGGGCAACCCACCCATGGCTGTTCTGCATAGAACAGCAGCCATAGAAGCTGTCTCTGAGACAGAACTCGCTCATGTCTCTTCTGCACAGTTACGACTGCTTATGTGTTGTACACGTACACCATCGCTGTAATTATAAAAAAGCCTCTGATGCACTACAACCCATTTCTCCGCTTCCCAATAGAAACAGATAGCCAGCGTAGCTTTCCGAGTCCCGACGAGTTCGAATTCGTCGCCGCCGCCTTTCGCGAATACCCGTCGCATCGCCACGATAATCGTCGCCTTCGTCGGCTGCATAGCGGCGGCGCGTGTGGTAGCGGCGAATCGTCACCGTCGGTGGCGGACTGGCGGGGGGTTGTTCAGAACTGCACAACGGAGAGAGGGAGAGAGCTTGTGAGAATTGCAGAACGCAGCATCTGAATAGGAATTCCGGCTTGGGTGCGACAAGCAGAAGGCTTCGAATAGCTAGGAAGCAGGAAGGTGGAGGAGGGGAATTCTTCTAGACCCCCTTGAAAGGCGACCAGGGAGAGAAGGGGGGGAGGAGCCATGGCGCAGATGGTTCCGCTCGATAACTCCCTCATAGATCTCGCCTCCCTCAGGTAATGCTTCTTTAGCCTCCCTCAGGTAATGCTTCTTTAGCCTCCCTCAGGTATGGCCTCCCTCAGGTAACGCCTCGCTCAGGTACTAATGCCTCCCTCAGGAAATGCCTCCCTCAGGTATGGCCTCCCTCAAGTATGGCCTCCCTCAGGTACTGCCTCCCTGAGGAGCTGCTTGACACTGCCTCCACCTCAGATAGAACTGCGCTTACAGCTGCCTCAGTTAAGGTACTGTCCGCCCCCTCCTCAGGTGCCTCCTCCAACAAAATATTATCCGCCCTCAGTTATTGCCGCCTGTCTGTCTTTGCCCTTTCCTCCAGTTTCCCCCCCCCCACACGCCCTTCCATGCCATTGCCAACTCCCCTCTGCACCCCTCCCATCCCCTTCCCTCTCTGCCCCTCCCATCCCCTTCCCTCTCTGCCCCTCCCATCCCCTTCCCTCTCTGCCCCTCCCATCCCCTTCCCTCTCTGCCCCTCCCATCCCCTTCCCTCTCTGCCCCTCCCATCCCCTTCCCTCTCTGCCCCTCCCATCCCCTTCCCTCTCTGCCCCTCCCATCCCCTTCCCCCTACCCCTCCCATACTCCTCCCGCTATGCTTCTGTGTGACCACCCTATTCCCTTTCGCGTGCTCCCCACTCCCCTCTGCGCCCTCCCCAACCTCCCTCCCCCACCCTCCCACATGTGTGCCTCTTACGAGCAGAGCACACGCCAGTCAACGCCTTGTTGACGCCCTTGACTCTGTGAGTTGACCTGCGTTGACTAGTCTGACTCGTTGCCTGCTGTTCATCACCCCTACCAGTTCCAGCACCTTCCCGTCGTTTATTAGTAGCCTTTCCAACCTACCAGTCCCAGCACCGTCCCTCCAGTTTTTCAGTGCTCCTTTTACTCAAGCAGTCCAACATCCATCCCACCCTCCCACCCTCCCACCATCGCACCCTCCCATCGTCACATCATCCCACCATCCCGCCATCGGCTCCCATCCATTCCCACCGCATCCCATTCCACCAGGTGCAGGGCGGCAAGGCTCTAGTGCTGGATGCGTCTATCAGCGGCCCGCTCGCCTTCATCGCTCCCATCTCTCTCCTCAAGGTGGCTCAGTCATAGGAGCTTCGCCTCTCAACTTTCCCCACTCCATTTCCCCCACTCCGCTCTGCCATGTCGTTTCCCCACTGATCCCCTACTCCACACTCACCTCCATCCCTGTTCTCTCTCTCCCCACGTTACAGGAATATGGAGTGGAAAATCCGTTCCACATAATTTTTCTAGGCACCTCAGAAATGTCCTCCTCCCCCCTGCACGTCTTCCCTCGTTACAGGAACACGGAGTGGAGAATCGGTTCCACATCAGCATCTTCTGAGGCGCCTCAAAAGCCCCCATTCTCCTCCATCCCCGCTCTCCGCGTGTCCCTTCGTTACAGGAACACGGAGTGGAAAATCTGTTCCACATCAGCGCCGACCCCATCCAATCACAGTGCTCCACCGTCCTCTACCTCCTGCGCCCCAATCCGCTTCTCATTCGCTGGATCACACGCCAGGTACATACAGACACCTTTTGAGTCGACTCAAAAGTTGGATCACACGCCAGGTACATACAGGCACCTTTTGAGTCGACTCAAAAGTTGGATCACACGCCAGGTACATACAGACACCTTTTGAGTCGACTCAAAAGTTGGATCACACGCCAGGTACATACAGACACCTTTTGAGTCGACTCAAAAGTTGGATCACACGCCAGGTACATACAGACACCTTTTGAGTCGACTCAAAAGTTGGATCACACGCCAGGTACATACAGACACCTTTTGAGTCGACTCAAAAGTTGGATCACACGCCAGGTACATACAGACACCTTTTGAGTCGACTCAAAAGTTGGATCACACGCCAGGTACATACAGACACCTTTTGAGTCGACTCAAAAGTTGGATCACACGCCAGGTACATACAGACACCTTTTGAGTCGACTCAAAAGTTGGATCACACGCCAGGTACATACAGACACCGCTTGGTACCATCCTTTATCGCCTGTGCCCCAATCCACTTCTGATTCGCTGGATTCCACGCCAGGTACTGTGTGCTACGACTTGGTAAGCTACCGCATTATGTTAGCACCTGTTGGTACCGCACTGTACCTGCCCCTTCCACGATTGCGCCCTTTCCTCCCATCTTCCCGTCCTGCCACCTCCCCTTCCCATCTCATCAATCTCACCAGGTACGTGCAGTGCAGACGAGCACAAGGATGCGAGGGAGAGAAGATATGGCAGTGCTCCCTCTCTCCCTCCTTGTCTCCTGTCCTGTGCCATTTCTTCTATCCCACGCATCCCACGGTCCCACCAGGTTCGGGCAGTGCAGACGAGGACGAGGGCATCACTCGCACCTACTACTTACTCTGCTCGTGTAGGCCCTCCATACTCCCTCCCCCTTCTTTTTTCTCATCCCGTCCAACCTTTCTTCCCCTTCCCCTGCCATGCACCTCACCAGCAGGGCATTGGGGACCAGACCAGGAATTTTTAGGCGCCTCATAAATTTTTTTCTCTATCCCGTCCAGCCCTTCTTCCCCTTCCCCTGCATCTCACCAGCAGGTGCGTGGGGACCAAACCAGCACGAGGGCATCACGCGCACCTACTCACTCCATTCGCTCTTCCTGTCCCCTTTCTCCATCCTGTTCTCCCATCTCCGTGTCCTATCTCTGCCGAATCCTTTTTCATCAACCCCACCAGGTGCGTGGAGACGAGGACGAGAGTGTGACTCGCACCTACTTGCACCTACTTGCACCTTCTCACACCTACTCACTCCACTCGCTCTTCCTGTCTCCATTTCTCCTGTTCTTTCTCCTGCCCCTTCCATCTCGCAGTTCTCATCACCAAGTGCGAGCAGACGAGGACGAGGGCGTCACTTGCACCCACTCACTCCACTCCTTGTCCTGACTCCCTTTCTCGCTCCTTGTCTCCTGGCTATCCCCTATCTTCCATGCAACGTATCCCACGGTCCCACCAGGTGCGAGCAGACGAGGACGAGGGCGTCACTTGCACCCACTCACTCCACTCCTTGTCCTGACTCCCTTTCTCGCTCCTTGTCTCCTGGCTATCCCCTATCTTCCATGCAACGTATCCCACGGTCCCACCAGGTGCGAGCAGACGAGGACGAGGGCGTCACTCGCAGCTACTCACTCCACTTCATTCCCAGATGCGACGCCATCTGCACCAGGGTACGTTCCTGAACTGAACTGAGAGAGAGAGAGAGAGAGAGAGAGAGAGAGAGAGAGAGAGAGAGAGAGAGAGAGAGAGAGAGAGAGACAGAGGAGGCAATGGGCACGCCAGGGGCTACCTCCGCGTTCGTGCGCTCCAGTTTGGAGGCAATGGGCACGCCGCTAGGATTGATCGAGCGGATGGAGCCGCAGCTGGCGGGACTGCTGCTGTCTCGGTGCGTTTCGCGCCGTGTATCCTATTTGGCCCGCACGACTCCCCTCCCGTCCCTGCCCAAGGAGGAGTGGTCCGAATGGGGGAGGCAGATGCTGGACACTTTGCTCACAGCGTGTGGCATCATACACCCGCGAGGGACCGAGGAAACTGCGCGCACTTGGGCGCAGGCCTTGCTCCCTGTATCTCTTGGTGGCCTTGGGCTGACAGATCCGTCCGTGGAGGGAAGCTACAGCTTCCTCGCCAGCTACACGCAGGCTCACCTTCTCCTTGACTCCCTCGAGGGCGACTGCAATGGCCCTCTGGAGGTCATCCGCGAGCAGATGCGCGGCCCCTATACTCAGTCATCTCCTTTGACCGAGTGGTTGGCGGAATGCGAGGGGGAGCTTCCACTGCCGGCGCAAGAAGCACTGCAAGCGGAGAGGACAGCCCCTACCGCGGGAAAGCTGCAGCACGGGTTAGCCACGGCTATCCAAGGCCAGCGCTACGCAGTTCAGGTGGAGGAGGTGCGGGGGATGAGCCCGAACCCAAACAATGGGCACACACAACGGCTGTTGTCCCTGTCGGGGTACGGGGCGGGGGATTGGTTGAACGCGGTGCCGCTGCACCGCACGCTACACCTCGAGGCTCCGCACTACGCCAACGCAGTCCAGTTTCGGCTGGGGCTCCCCTTTGCGGCCCCCGGGGTCTGCAATTGCTCGAAGCAGGTAGAAATCCCTGACAAGCGTCTCCCAAACCACCTGTTACGGTGCGGGACAGGGGGGGGGCGCACAAACACCCACAACGAACTCAGAGATGAGTGTGCGCGAATGGCGCGCGACGCGGGCTTCATGGTGCACATTGAAACGGCCGCCTTCAGCCCAGTGGAGGAGAAGAAGGCGGACCTTGCCCTCCGCTGCCGCTCAACAGGAGCCGTCTACATCTGTGATGTGACGGTGACGGACCCCATCACCACCCGTGACGAGAATGCAACTAAGGGGCGGGGGTGGGCGGCTCGGGAAGCAGCAGATAAAAAGCACGGCCTCTACAGGGACCGCCCCGAGTGGGTGAAGTTTTTCCCGCTCGCGGTCGAAACTTATGGGTGCCCATGCCCCGAGACAGTGGATTTCCTGAAGCTGCTCGCAGAGACAGCTGCAAGGCGGTTCTTTAACGCTGAGCCAACCTCCTACCAAGCTGCCAAGCTCTTACACCACTTTCGGCAGCGGTGGTCGGTGGCTCTTCAAAGGGGGCAGTCTATCGGTTATTTGGAAAAATGCAGCATAGCGGCTGCACTGGAAAACCCACTGCTCGAGGCAGTGGGGGAGGCTCCGTCCCTAGGGGATTGCCTCACGGTCCTTGATCCTGTACTGGACCTAGCTTAGAAAGGGGGGGGGGGGGGGTTGTATGTTAAGGGAGTCGTAAGGCCTTTCGCACCATACTGACAATAGCTACCTCCCTGCAGCCGTCTGCGGCACACTCGGTCACCATCCAAGACATGGAGGGACGACTGCCGCCGCTGGCGCTGCAATACCTCCGCGAGGAGCAAGAAACCCCGTCCCAAGACCAGCTGCAGCGGGCCCTCTCTCTGGAAGTGCATGCGGCAAAAGCCGACTCCCTGACAGAGGACTCACGCTCGATCAGGTCAGCCCCCGAGACGGGCCACACGCTCCGCCTCGTCAGCCTGAGAGGCGAGGGAGCGGGAGCATGGCTGCAGGCCCTACCCTTGACCCCAGACCTCTGCTTCTCACCAGGGCAGTTCCGAACAGCCCTGGCCTTCCGCATGGGCATCCGACAGAACGTACCTACTGTGTGCGAGTGTGGAGAGCTCGTGGCCGACTGCAGCCTACCCAACCACCTACTCCGCTGCAGCACAGGCCCTGACAGAACGCGCACACACAATCAGCTGGCCTTTGCCGTGGCAAAAATGGCGAGGGAGGCGCAGCTGGTGGTATACCTGGAGAATGCAATGTACTCACCACCAGATGACCCGAAGAAGGCCGATGTGATGGTGCGTGACCCAGACAGTGGAGAGACTTGGATCACAGACACGACTATCACCGACCCTGTGCTCCAGAACCGGGACCCCACAGCCCGCAAACCCCCAGGCTGGGCTGCAAGGGAGGCTCAGAAGCGGAAGGAAAGAGATTACTACCGGCACACAGAACACGTGGTGTTCTGCGCCCTGGCCGTCGAGACCTATGGGGCAAACGCTCCCCCCACGACGGCGTTCCTGAAGCTGCTGGCTACAGCAGCAGCTAGGAACCGGTTCAGGGCCAACCCCCTGTCGAAATCGGCCAAGAAGATGGCCTGCCACTTCAGCCAGCGATGGTCAGTGGCCCTCCAGCGCTCCCAGGCGAATGCCCTACACACCAAGGCCAGGGCTGGGATAGAGGCAGCGCACCCCCAGATGGCAGCGGACCCATGGCCACTGCACCTAGGGGACATCCTCCACACGCTGGAGGGTTAGAGGGGCACTAAGGGGGGGAAGGGTCAAAGGGATGGGTTGATGGGTCGGAAGGTATAAGGGAACCACGAGTCAAATTGCATGTCTGTACCCCCCTGCTGAATCAATACAAAGGACCATTTGAGAGAGAGAGAGAGAGAGCATGTGTGCCTGCATGCGTGCATGCATGTTCAAATGTGGCATGTCCGCGCGCGTGCGCTTGCGCCCCACACACACATCCTCTGCAGATTCTGGAGCATCAGGGGCTTGTGGATGACCCTTGATGACCCGTGAGTCGACTGGTGCTATGTTGGAAAAAACACGTTTCGCGTTTAGTACGCTTTCCGTATAAACGCTAGAGTTTATACGCAGTACGCTGGCCGGAGGGGGTCTGGTACGCACAGAAAAACGCTTGCCCGGGCAGCTAAATTCTTCTCCCGGGCAGGTTAAGATGCTAGGTCAAGAGACGGGAACGGGAGCTGCTGTAGTAGGTTATCGTCGCAAGTGAAATTAGAAGGGGATCAAAGGGAAAAACGACCTGACATTGAGCGGGGAGGATGAGTCTGGTTGAAGTTGGCAACAAAATTGGAAGGCATTGGTAATCGATGTGGTTGGAATGGGTTGTTGAGCGGTTGATAGGAGGGGACGATTCACCAAACGGTTTCGAAATTCAGATCTGAGGTTGCATTTGCAATTCGCGATCTCAAATCTGAATTCCGATACTCGCGAACACAACTGATTTTTTTTTCCCGGTCAGCCCGAGAGAAATTTGGCGAATTTTAGAAAAATACGCAGCGTACGAATTTTAGATGCGTATAAACTCAATACGCAACGTCAAACTTGCGTTTTTTTCAACTTAGGACTGGTGCAAAGCTAGCATTGCTGCATGCCACCTACATCTACTTGAGTCGACTTTTGAATCCACTACGTATACTGATTCTCCCCGTTCCTCACATCTGCAGATTCTGGAGCAGGATTGGACGACCCTTGAGTCGACTCAAAAGTCATCTTGTTGTGACCTGCGTCTACTGTTGCCCCCCACACCACACATCCACTGCAGGTTCTGGAGCAGGAGGGACTGGTGGGCGACCCGCGGGTGGCAGTGGGCGAGTATCCCCTCGAGATGATCCCCGTGGACCATGACCTCCTCGCACTGGACCTCCATACCCTCTATAAGGTGACCTTCTTACCCTTGATATATTGATTGTTGTCCCCTTCATAAGCCAATTCTGGAGCAAGATGGCAGTGGGAGAGTATCCCCTCGAGATGATCCCGTTGGACCATGACCTCCTCGCACTCGACCTCCATACCCTCTATAAGGTGAATCTTGTACCCTCTATAAGGTGAGGTGATTCCGAACTGCACCAATCCAATCCAATTCAGGACGTGGACATGCACTCAAGCCACACCACTGCGTTACCCTTTCCCGCACCTTTTCATCTCTCCCACCCTACCCTTTTTAGTTTTCCCTTACCTTTTCATTCTCTTCCCCACCCCTCTTCCCCCACACCCTTCCCCGCCCCCCTGCCCCTTCTTGTTCTGAACTGCACTAATCCAATCCAGGGCATACACGTGGACTCAGACCCCGCCTCTCCTTGACCCTGCTCTCACCTTTCTATCTCTCTCCCCTCCCACCCCCCTCCCTCCCGTCTGACCTATCCAATCCAGGATGTACACGTGGACTCAGACCCCACCTCCACTTTGCAAGTGGCGCGAGTGCTGGCTAATTTCCAGGTAATTTCCAGGTGACGATTTTTAGTAGTTGAAGGTGGTAATCTCAGCCATTGATGGTGATAATCCAGTGGTAATCTCAGCCATTGATGGTGATAATCCAGTGGTAATCTCAGCCATTGATGGTGATAATCCACGCGATGCCAGCTCATTGCGGCTGTGGTTACGAACTCCTATACTCATGGCTGTTACTTTTGAGAACTATCAAAAGGGATGCCAAATGATGTTTTACCATCCCGATGCCTCCCGTTTGATTCCCGTGCTTCTTTTGATTCTTCACTGCCTCTCATTCTCTTGATTCCAAGTCATTCTCCTCGCCCTGTCTCCCACGCACTGCAGTCCGTGTTTGGAGTGCCTCCAGTGCTGAAGGGCAAGGGAGTGGCAGCGCAGCGAGTGGCACAGGCCATGAGTCAACTCATGAAGGAACAGAAGTCGCACGTGGCGCCGGTAGGCCTGCTGTGATGCTGCTGCCGGTAGGCCTCCTCTGCTGCTGCCGGTAGGCTTGCTGATTTCTGACATGTCTTGAGAAACAGGCCATGGGTCAACTCATGAAGGAGCAGAAGTCACACGTGGCGCCGGTAGGAGTTGTTAGTTTTAAGCTGACTCAAAAGGCATCGTAAGCTAGACAGTCTACTCACTTGTCGCTCTAGTTTCTGGGACTTATGTGACCTGGCTCTTGAGTTGCCTCGAGTTTGTTTCTCGTTTGCTTCAGCCCAGTGAGCTGAAATCTTTACTGGAGTGTGGAATGTCTTGTGGCGTGGTGGAGTGGTGTGATGTGGGGCGCTGCGGTGTGGGGTGGAGCGGTGTGGTGTGGGGTGGAGCGGTTTGTTGTGTTGTGGTGCGGTGTGGTGTGGAGTGGTGGTGGCAGGTGGAGCATCCAAGCGTGGACATGATGGTGCTGATAGACAGACAGGTGGACATGGTGACGCCAGCATGCACTCAGCTCACATACGAAGGGCTGCTTGATGAGGTCAGCATCCCTACAAAGATGATGTCAGCATGTTTGATAAGTGATGTCAGCATGCCTTCATAGATGACATCAGCACTTGAGGCGCATCAAAGATAGACAGACAGGTGGACATGGTGACGCCAGCATGCACGCAGCTCACATACGAATGGCTGCTTGATGAGGTCAGCATCCGTAGAAATCTGATGTCAGCATGTTTGATAGGTGATGTCAGCATGCCTTGATAGGAGTCAGCATTTCTTGATAGATGAGGAGGTCAGAATCTTCCTCTGCCAGTCTTGCTCTCTACCTTCAATCATCTCTTTGTTCTTCCCTCTCTCTACCTTTCCATGCGGTTGGGGTTCAGATGATCATTCCAGTGAACGCTCGGGAAACGCAAAGCCAAGCGAAGCGAGTGTGGCTCTCTATGGGTATGAAGAGGGAGCATGCGCAAATTTGTCCAGCCATGAGTACGGATGATGCAGTTACACGGAACTACAGCCCCCATGAATGGATGTGGGACGCAGTCACATTCAGTGCTGGGCATGGACTTCGATGAAATAACAAATGAGTTTGATGGGCACGTTGGGGTTGGTGAAGTGGTCGATCACGAATGACAAGCATTTCAGTTGACAAGACTAGAGATTTCATAGACCATAGATTCGTCTAACTCGCATCATTGCATGGAATATACAGCTGATCAATCAGAGTCGGTTGAAGATGTACATAGACCTATCGACCTTGACTGATCAACTGTATATTCCATGCAATGACGCAAATTTGACAAATCTATGGCCTGTCTACGTAATCTTTAGTCTTGCGAGTTCATGATCGACCACTTCACCACTCCCACTGTGCCCATCATCTTCATTGATTCTTTCATCAAAGTCCATAGCAGTACTAAATGTGACTGCGTCCCACATCCATTCAGGGAGGCTGTAGTTCCGCGCAACCGCATCATCCCTAGTCATGGCTAGACAAATTTGTGCGTGCTCTCTCTTCATACCCATAGAAGCCACACTCGCTCGGCTTGGCTTTGCATTTCCCGAGCGGTCACCAGAATGATCATCTGAGCCGCAGTGGAGGTGGATCATATAGTCATCGGAAGGAGATACCTCTTTGCGCCTCTTCTGCATGCAAATATTTTCTCTGCCCAATAGTTTTGTACTTCCCTGTCCCTATCTTTCCACCCAGCACCTGCACGTTACGGACGGGGCGAAGGTGAATCTTGCAGTCATGGGGAAAAAGGGAATCACCTCCCTAACGCGTCTCTTTTGCGATCACCCTCTCACTCTCTCTGTCCCGTCCATTTATCTCTCCTCTCTCTTCCTCCACCTCTCCCTCACCCAGCTACTGCACGTAGCAAACGGGGCAGTGGAGGTGGATCCTGCAGTCATGGGGGTGACATCCAATGCCAGGAAGATCAAAGTGCCTCTCAACTCCAAGTGAGTGAGGGGCGTGGTTGGTTATTAAGAAATCTCATAAAAATTATGCTCGGAAGACCCTATTATGAGAGAGGGTGTGGCTTGTATAGAACCAACGCCAGGAAGATCAGAGTGCGTCGCAACTCCAAGTAAGAGAGGGGCGTGGGGACCAAGATTCGTAGTGCTTGGTTTAGAGTAGACAAGTGTGCTGTGCCCTGTTGGTCTCTTTACACGAGAGAACTGTCCGGCAGTCATGGGGGTGACATCCAACGCCAGGAAGATCAGAGTGCCTTCCAATCCAAGTTCCGACTCTAAAGAACATGGTCGGATTCCAAGAGTTCTCAAATGAAAGCCCTCTCATGCCTTGGCTTTGTGTGCAGCCCCTTCCGTGCACCTTCTGCAAGGCAGCTTGAAATGATCTCAGCAAGTGGTGAAGCCCTTCATGCGCTGCCTTGCCCTCCTCGCCTTCCTCGCCTTCCTCACCCTGCTCGCCTTCCTCCACTCACCTGTATCTATGCATTGAGAAGCTGTTTCAGAAGCTTAGAGCTTTTGAGACGTCTCATGCTTCATCTTGCCGTCCCTCCCCGCCGTCCTCACCTTACCTATATCTTTGCAGTGACAAGCTGTTTCAGGACCTTAGAGGCCGCAACTTTGGATCAGCAGCGGAGGTGAGGTGCTTTGCATTGTATTGTATCACATCGCATAGCATCACACCACACCACATCACATCACATCACATCACATCACATCACATCACATCACATCACATCACATCACATCACATCACATCACATCACATCACATCACATCACATCACATCACATCACACCGCATCCCATCCCATCCTCTCATCGCATCCCATCCCATCGCATTGCAACGCATCGCATCGCATTGCATTGCATCGCATCGCATCGCATCATAAAACATCAAAATTGCATAGATTCGCATCGCATGGTGCCTTGAACACACAACGCGGAGTCAAAGCAATGGGGAGAGTACAACTACTTCTTCACGTGTCTCTGTCCCCTCTTCTTTTGAGACGTCTCAAAGTCATTCACGTGTCTCTGTCCCCTCTTCTCCCTTTGCTCCATCGCTGTCTCTGCTCTCTTTGACCCTCTGTCCCCTCTGTCCCCTCTGCTCTCTCTGCTCCCCTCCTCAGCTGCTGCGAGGCAAGGCAGTGGAGATGAAGTCAGGGTATGCCAACCCGAGGCAGAGGCCATAAAGAGGCACCTGAACCCCAAAGTACAACCTTAGCACTCGTTTCCCCCCCCTGCTTCCTCTTACTTGTCTCTCTTCAGCTGCTGCGAGCCGAAGCAGTGGAGATGAAATCAGAGTATGCCAACCTCAGGCAGAGGCCGCAGAGAGGCGCATGAACCCCAAAGTACAACCTCTTAACGTCCCTCTGCGCTCTCTGCTCCCCTTTCCACCTCCCACTCCTCCTCAGCTGCTGCGAGCCAAGGCAGTGGAGATGAAGTCAGAGTATGCCAACCTCAGGCAACGGCCGCAAAGAGACGCATCGCCACTGCGCTCCGCTGCGCCGGGTGGCCAGGGAGCTGCCTCTGCTGCTGCTGCTGCTGCTGGTGGTGGAGAGCAGGTGAGGATTGATCTGCTACACCTGTTGCACCTGTTGCAGTCAGACAGTGTTCTCCTCTTTTTCTGAGACGAAGGATTTCATCAAGAAACACGGTTCTCCTCTGTTCCTCGTTCCCTACTATGTCTCACCACATGTTGCACCTGTGGCATCTGTTGCTTGCAGACGGTATCAGAGCTCAAGGACTTTGTCAAGAAACGTTGTGCTCTTTCCCTCGTTTCGTACTTGTGTCTCACCACGTGTTGCATGCACGTGCTGTGCCTGCTGTACCTGTGGCATCTGTTGCTCGCAGACGGTATCAGAGCTGAAGGACTTTGTCAAGAAGCTCAACGTTCTGCCAGAGCTTACGGTGAGATGATTCATCTTTTCTTTATAACCCTTGCTGTTCTACATTTTTTTTTTTTTTTTTTTTTTTTTTTTTTTGGCAACATTGTGTGGCAGGTTTTGTCCAGACTACCTTCCAGTATGTGTGCAAAGTTTTACACTTTATCAGGCTTCACCTTTTGCTCTGCTGACCTGGTCCTATCATTTCTTCTTACATCTTCTAAACCTTTCCCTCCCTTTCCCTGTCTCCCCCTTCCCATCTCCCATCTTCCCCCACATCCCCCCCCATCCCCCTCTTAGCGCCACACCAACCTAGCGGGGCACATCTCGCAGGTCACCAACCGGCCGGCCTTAGGCGCTCACCACTTCCCCCTTTCTCCTGTCCTTCTCCCCCCTTCCCTTCCTTGTAACATCCCTTCCCTCACCAGCGCCACACCAACCTAGCGGGGCACATCTCACAAGTCACCAACCGGCCGGCCTTTGGCGCTCACCACTTCCCCCTTTCTCCTGTCCTTCTCCCCCCTTCCCTTCCTTGTAACATCCCTTCCCTCACCAGCGCCACACCAACCTAGCGGGGCACATCTCACAAGTCACCAACCGGCCGGCCTTTGGCGCTCTCATCTCCACGGAGCAAGCCATCCTGGAAGCACGCTCCATAGACTCGTACGTGTGTGGGTGGCACATGCTTTCACTGTTGTTCTTTTTCCTTTGGGCCTGGGAAGAATTATGTTCGAACACCAACCGGCCGGCCTTTGGCGCTCTCATCTCCACGGAGCAAGCCATCCTAGAAGCACGCTCCATCGACTCGTACGTTCACCACTGTGTGCCCTGTGCCCTGCGCGCTGTGTGCTGCTGTGGTATGCAATCAACACATGGTAGCTCTCATCGCATCTCCACGGAGCAGGCTATTCTGGAAGCACGCTCCATCGACTTGTACGTTCGCAAATGGGCTCCCCTATGTGTCTGATGGTACTTGACGTGAGTGCCCTGTTCTGCTGTCCTACCGTCCCATGGTAACTCTGATCTGTGCGGATTTATGCCCAAATGTGTCTGTGACTGCAGGGCGTGTGAGTACATAGAGGACGCCATGGCACAGGGATCTCTGGAGATGTTGATTTGTATCTATATGCAAAAATTACGCCCAATTGTGTGTGTGACTGCAGGGCGTGTGAGTACATAGAGGATGCCATGTCACAGAGATAGCTACAAAGAGTCTGAGCTACATATATGTATGCGTGTGCATGAGTCTGCATGTGTCTGATTGTGTATGAATGTGTGACTGCAGGGCGTGTGAGTACATAGAGGACGCCATGGCACAGGGGCATCCCATGAGCACGGTGTTACGCCTCCTCTCCCTTGTCTCCCTCACCAATGGCGGTATTCCCAAGGCACGCTTCGACCATCTCAGGTACGCCGTGTGTGAAAGCTGAGCTTTTGTGCTACTTTTTAGAACCTCTCTTATGTCTTGCTGCTTCCACTCACACCACAACGCCCCATTGCATCCCATCCCATCCCATCCCATCCCATCCCATCCCATCCCATCCCGTCCCGTCCCGTCCCATCCCATCCCATCCCATCCAATCCCACCCCCCCTCCCATCCCATCCCATCCCATCCCATCCCATCCCATCCCATCCCATCCCATCCCATCCCATCCCATCCCATCCCATCCCATCCCATCCCATTCCATCCCATTGTATCACACCTATCAGGCGCGAGTTCCTGCAGGCCTACGGCTTCCTTCACGTCTTTTCTCTTGACAATTTCGAGCGCGCAGGCTTGATCAAACGCCAGGTGGGGTACCAGGGAGGTGGGGTACCAGGCAGGTGGGTACCAGGCAGGTGGGTACCAGGCAGGTGGGTACCAGGCAGGTGGGTTTTGAATCACTAAAGCATAAATAATCTCATGGTGTTCTTCTCTTGTGGAATTTTGAGCATCTTGAAACCTACGCCGACATGACATGACATGCTGTGCTGTGCTGTGCTGTGCTGTCCTGTGCTATGCTATGCTATGAGGACCTCATGTCGTGCGTACAGGAGGTTGACTTTGGAGTTGACTCAAAAAGTCCTCCGTGCTTCACTACTTGTGCTGTGTGCGTGCAGGAGGGCCGCAGCACATGGGTTGCAGTGAAGCGGAGCCTGAGGCTCATAGTGGATGACGATGATGATGCCAAGTGCGAGAGAAGGGTGGTGTTGAGTGGTGGTGTTGGGTGGTGTGTGGTGGTGTGTGACGCTGATGATCGTAATTATGACGCCAAGCGAGAGAGCGAGTGGTGGCGTGAGTTTGTATGTGGTGATGATAGTGATAGTGATGGTGATGGTGATGGTGATGGTGATGGTGATGGTGATGGTGATGGTGATGATAAGGGTGCAAGGGTGATAACAATGTCAGTTCAAGTCCACAGGGTTCACAACTGCACATGTCACAACTGCACATGTCACAACTGCACATGTCACAACTGTACATGTCACAACTGCACTTGTCACAACTGTACATGTCACAACTGCACTTGTCACAACTGCACATGTTCGCAATTGCACATCTTCCCCTCTCCTCTTCCTTCTCTTAGCTCCTCACCCTCACCCTCTCATTCGGTCACTCCTTGTTTCTACCTCACTCACTCTTCTTCCTCACCCGCCCTCCCTCGTGCCTCCCATCCAGCCCCAGGGACATTGCATTCTCGTTCTCCGAGTAAGCCCCTGCCTTTTGTGTCACCTCGGAAGCCAGCTAGCTTCAGATTAACATCCATCCACATCCCTGCACATCCCTCCACATCACTCTCTTCTCCCATGCCCCCCAACCAGTCCCAGGGACATTGCGTTCACGTTTTCTGGCTATGCCCCTCTAAGTGTGCGCCTCCTGCAACAGGCCATCCAACCTGGAGGCTGGTGAGTCACCGTACAGTCCTCATTGATTTCATCATTTCGTATCTCCTCTTGAGTCGACTCAAAAGTCACCCCATCCAACCTGGAGGCTGGTGAGTCACCGTACAGTCCTCATTGATTTCATCATTTCGTATCTCCTCTTGAGTCGACTCAAAAGTCACCCCATCCAACCTGGAGGCTGGTGAGTCACCGTACAGTCCTCATTGATTTCATCATTTCGTATCTCCTCTTGAGTCGACTCAAAAGTCACCCCATCCAACCTGGAGGCTGGTGAGTCACCGTACAGTCCTCATTGATTTCATCATTTCGTATCTCCTCTTGAGTCGACTCAAAAGTCACCCCATCCAACCTGGAGGCTGGTGAGTCACCGTACAGTCCTCATTGATTTCATCATTTCGTATCTCCTCTTGAGTCGACTCAAAAGTCACCCCATCCAACCTGGAGGCTGGTGAGTCACCCCACGGTCCTCATTGATTTCATCATTTCGTATCTCCTCTTGAGTCGACTCAAAAGTCACCCCATCCAACCTGGAGGCTGGTGAGTCACCGTACAGTCCTCGTTGATTTCATCATTTCGTATCTCCTCTTGAGTCGACTCAAAATTCACCCCATCCAACCTGGAGGCTGGTGAGTCACCGTACAGTCCTCATTGATTTCATCATGTCGTATCTCCTCTTGAGTCGACTCAAAAGTCACCCCATCCAACCTGGAGGCTGGTGAGTCACCGTACAGTCCTCATTGATTTCATCATTTCGTATCTCCTCTTGAGTCGACTCAAAATTCACCCCATCCAACCCCATTGCAGAAACTCACACAGTCCTCATTGACTTTTGATTCTACCGTTTCGTATTTTCTCCTTCATTGATGCTACCATCTTCTCTTTAGTCCCAGATTTGTTTTATCTCTTGCCTCTCGCCCGTAATGGTTTTTTGTGCATGCCAGGAGAGCGATGGACGAAGTGACAAAGACTGCCACAGGACCAACTTTTGAGTGGGAGCAGGTAAGCTGGGAGGCACCTCCACCTCAAGAACATGTCCCTTCCCTAGTACTTTCCACATGATAAACTTCAGCAAGAATGTACCAAGTTAAGTGGTTCGAGAATTGTTCTGAAAAAACATTGAGCATATTTTTTTCTTGGGATCATGGCTATTGGGTAAAAACTTTTGTGCGTGCATTTCTGGCACAACAAACGTTTGGCACCTGACTAAAGAGGAAAGAGGAAACAAAAGGGGGTAAGGGGGGGAGGGGGAAAGGGGGAAGCCGTGACGCGACTAGCAATAGTAAGGTACTAGTGACTCAACACACACATTCTACATTAGGACTCATAATTCAAACAATGATTAGGATATGTCATTCCATGCAATGGCGAGAAACCAAGTGAAAACCATGAGGTTGCAGTGAGAGTTTCTGCATAAGTGGCTTGCTTTTACTGTTGCTCTTTTGCCCTCGTATAGTGGTTTTCTCGACATTCCTTCCTCGTCTGCTGCTCCTCCTCTCTCTCACCACCCACCTTCAGTCTCCTGACGGCACCACCCATCGGGGCATCACCAACTGGACCCCATTCTCTGAGTCCGTGCCTCGCCTCGTGGCGGCTGTTTTCCTGAGCCTTCTCAACGATACACAATACACGATGCACAAGCCTGTCCTTTATTTTCCTCTCTCCCACCACCCACTACCAGTCCCCTGACGGCACCACCCATCGGGACGTCACCAACCGGACCCCGTCCGCCATGCGCAGAGGGCCATCGGAGTCGGTGCCTCGTCTGGTGGCTGCTGTATTCCTGGGGGGCGTCACCTTCGCTGAGGTTGCTGCTCTGCGCTTCCTCTCCATGCAGGTGCGTGCATGTGGGGCCGTGAGTTTGTTGAGCTAGCAAGGCCCTTTGAGTCCTAAGGAAGCTCAAGATATGGCTGGGGGCTGTCGGAAGTTGTTCCTGGGGGGCGTCACCTTCGCTGAGATCGCTGCTCTGCGCTTCCTCTCCATGCAGGTGCGTGCCTGTATGCATGGATGTCTTCGTGCAGGCGTCTTAGCATGTGTGTGCATTTGCGCACCTTGAGTTCTGAAGATTCCCCAGACACACTCAGCTGGTTGGGCGGCTCTGCTGCTACCTTTAAATAGGCTGATGCTTCTCCGGAGTCTCTGGAATCAGTCGTTTTTCAATCGAGTAAAATGTTGCTGTGCGAGCGAGGTTCACTCTCTTGTGAATTTTTCCATGTTTTTCTTCGCTGGCGCTCTCTCCCTACAGGTGGAGGTTGGAGGAATGAGATAAATGTGTGTAATACAACTAGGTTCCCACTCCCATGCTCTATACTTGCCTGATCTTCACCTCTCCCTCTTGCGTGTACGCTGTTTCCGGTGCTGAGCAGGATTCGGCAATCACGTCGTTCCTCATCATCACAACCAACATCGTCTCTGGCAACTCCCTCTTACAGCCGTTGATTGAGACCGTCTGATCTGACAATTCTACAGAACATGATGGTAGGGAGTCTACTGAGCTTTAGTGTACGAAAATGGTGGTAATCTGGAAGTGGCCATCAGTCTGATGAGATACATGCATGTGAAGCAGCATTGCCGAGTGTTTTACGTTTGCCATCGATTATTTCTCCACAAAAACCGTTGCTTTATAATAGCTCGTGCATCCATAAATGGCACCAAGGTGTCGCCCGGATAGAAGACCGTGTTGCATTGAACACACTGTTGTCTTCTATGGGTGCATATTCTAATAAGGCGGGGACTTCTTTGTAAAGAACATAATGGATTATACATGGGGGCGTACAGATGTGGTGGTGACGGCCGCGCGTGCACCATGGCTAAAGCAGTAGCCCGAGGAGTAGCTGAGAGTTTCGATGTCGTGCACCAACAATGCGTCATTGTGTCCCGTGGGTGGAACTGACTGTCGTCCTCCTAGCACAAACCCCATGCCGGTTGTACTATCCAGATACTACAATACCCTCTCAGCAGTCGAACAGTGCTCTCTCCCAGTTGCAACAAAGAGAGCAAGGGATGTTGAGAGAATATGCGAAAACTGGTCGAGTGCGGGTCATTAGGTACATCAGGCACCCTTGCCTCTAGATAGGATTTGAGGCACCCCATCAGCTCTGTGGACAGACCACTCGGCTCAACAGGCTTGTCCGGGACAGGGGCCGATAACATATCGCCAACAAGTAGAGGAGTGGGCTGTGCAGAGGAAAAAGGCCGGAGAACTATACCGTAGGATATGCTGCACCACTTGTGACTGAGTGAGAGAGATGGTGCGAGTGTAAAAAGAGACAAACTCGTCAAAGGTGACCTCACACAAGCTAAAAAAAACTGGTGAGAGGAAGGGTGGTAGCAAGTCAACCCTCGGCGCAAAGCGTTGACGCATGACTAGGTGACCTCCATCCAGAGGATGGTTAGCGGAACCTGCGGGCATGAGACTGTTAACCGGAATTGAGTGTTGGCCCCGCCCTCGCTTGGGCAACGCCGACGAATTGGTCGGTTGTACGGGAGTAGCAGCCGACCGTTCACAGTGGGAGAGCTGCTCGACAGGCATCGTCGAGCTGCAAGGGACCGCTGTGGTGCTGCCGTCCACCAAGGAGCTCGACAGCTGCAACTGACTGGTCTGGGCGATGGATGGGACGTCGACCAGGAGGGGCAGTTCGACCGGGAGGCCTCCGTCGACCTGCAGCTCGACCGGGGGGTCCCCGTCGACCTGCAGCTTGACCGGGAGCATTCTTTCGACCTGCAGTTCGACCGAGAGGTCGACGGAGCAGTCCGTCAACCTGACAAGTGAGCAGCGGTCGACGAGGGGAGCTCGGCGACAACTGCTAACGATTCTGGTCGACAGAAGGGGTCCGTCGACCAGAGGGTAGCTTGACGGGAGTTGTGGTCGACCAGAGGCACCTGGTGGTCGACCAGAGGGACTTGGTGGTCGACCAGAAGCAGTGGTGGTCGACCGGAAGCACCTGGTGGTCGACCGGGTCGACTGGGTAACTTGCTCGACGAGTTCTGCGGAGGCACGCGAACGTCGTCAAGGTCGCAATGGCGCAGGCAACTTCGGGCTGGTATCGCGAAGTCGATGTGGCTCGTCAGGCGCAAACAACAGCCGACGGATGCCCAACGAGGCAAGTCAGGCCAATCGTCTGCGCGCACCTGCGAGTGTGCGCACTGCTGTGTTCTACGGGGCAATGCTAGACAGCCGCTCAGCTGCAGCGTTGGCACGCCGTCGACCTGCTCTGTTGGCAGGTCGCCCTTCTCAGTGCTGGCGCGGCTCCTCTACGCAACGCTGGCAGGTGGTCGACCGAGCTGTGCTGGCGGTCAACCAGGCTAGCTGCAGGGTTGCTAGGTGCCTGATGTAGTCGTTGTTGCCATCTCTTGTTCTATGATTCTGTAATTTCGACTTGGCCTAGTGGAAACTCTTACCGATTACTCCCGTGAATGCGCAAGCACTAAGGAATTAAGCAAAGCTGCGATCACCTCTAGTAGTTGGTGCCAACCCCGTAGTCTAGCTCACTACCATTGTAGAGTGACTCTCCGCAGAGACATGGGGGCACATGTTAAGCTAGTGCGCGGTGTACCAGAATGCAAAGGCCCGAAGAGAGGAGGGGAAGGGGGGGGGGGGGGGGGGGGGGGGGGGGGGGAGACTGGCATGAATCATGGGGGTATGGGTGATCTACATGATTAAGCAAATGCAACACTCAGCGACCTTATTCTGCTGCGGCGAGTCCGGATGCGAGAACGACTGGCGGGTTCCCTACGCGCCACAAAATTGCTCAATCTGACAGGGGGTGAACCCGCCATCTTGGTCAGAGCGCAGAGGAAGCAGATGCTGGAGCGCTGGGTGCGGATGGCCACTAGCGACGGGAGGAGACGTCGGCCTTCCGATGTAAGGGAAACACCATGTCGTAGTGGGAAAAGTCATCCACAACCACTAAAAAGTAGTGCTTCTTACACTGTCCATCGAAAGGGGCAAGGCCCTAGAGGTCCATTTGTAGGGCCTGACATGGGGCAGCGACAAGAGACAACGAGGAGTGAGGGACAACGTGCTGCCGACCCTCAATGCAAGGAATGCACGGAGATGCAGACGAGGGAGGGGTGGGGAAAGCGGATTTGATAGACCTAAAACAAGACTCTTAAAAACCATATAACGGAGACGCGGGAAGGAGGGGTGACCTAAGCGGTGAAGCCACAAAAGCGACGAGTGAGTGAGTGACCGAGACGAGGACGCCACAGCTACCTGACCATACACAAGTAACCTGAGGAGACCTAGTGCGCTGCATGAACATGCCTGATGCTGGCACCCGAGGGAACGTAGCAAGAGATGCTCCAGTGGTACATTTTTTACAGGTCGATGAACGCTCATGTCCAGGAAACGTGGTGGTCACACCAAGGTCCTAAAGACAACTGACACTCACCAAGTTTCTGGAGAACGAGTGGATGAGCGGACATGTGAGGGAGCCAAAGGGGTTTGCCGGACACGGGAGAGTAGTAGTGCTGCAAGCAACGACTTGCCCGGAAGAGAGGCCAGCTAACGCGACTGGGACTGGTACAGGAAGAGGCATGGGGTCGGTGCGGTCACGGAAGAAGCAACGAGACTTGCCTAAGTCAATCGTGAAGGAGAGGAACTTATCAGCTGTGGCCGCACATGTGCAAGCAACATCAGATGATCCTAAACAAGAAACATCTAGAGATCCTAGTCTTGGCAAACACAAATAACAAGACCTAGCAACACTAAAGTCAACGGCATACTTGACAGGTCCAGAAAACAAAGCAGCATAAATAGTAGTCATTTTCATACAAAACGCAGGCAAGACACGCTGAAGAAGCGCCAGCCAATCCTGGAGCTCCACAGCAAGGCCGTGCGCTGGCGGTAGAGGTCGGAGAGGTGGCTGAAGCAGCGCGCAGCTAAATGATCAAGACATGCGCATAGCTGACCGGCGTAAGGACCAGTTTGAATCACATGCTAGCAGGGCCCACGGTTGCAACCATTGCTCCTGTAGTCGATCGAGCCCCATTGCTGCTGGTGAACTGTCAAACTTATATGCTATAGTTTGTGTAGGCTGTAGTGGGGTAGCTCATATGGGGTACAACACTTTAGGGTTTCCTACTTGTACTCCTCATGCTGCTCAATGCAATCATTCCTCGTTCTTATTTTGACATGGTATTAGAGCAGAATCGTTCCTAGGGCCCACCGAACGTTCCGCCCTGCCCTACAGCAGCGCTGCCCTTGCAACCTACATGCTGCCCCTGCAGCCGTGCCTGCCCCTACAGCCCGTGGCCGCTGCCTCTGCAGCCGTGCCTGCCTCTGCAGCCCGTGGGTGCTGCCCCTGCAGCCGTGCCTACCTCTGCAGCCCGTGGGAGCTGCCTCTGCAGCTCGTGGGAAATGCCTCTGCAGCCCGTGGGGCCTGCCCTAACTCCTGCTCGTCGCGACGCCCTCTGGGCGCCATCCCTGCTCATCGCGGCGCCCCCGGGGCGTTGCCCCTGCTCGTCGCGGCGCCCGCTGGGCGCCGTTCCTGCTCGTCGCGGCGCCCCCCCTCGGCGTCGCCCCTGCTCGTCGCGACGCCCCCTGGGTGTCGCCCCTGCTCGTCGCGGCGCCCCTGAGGCGTTGCCCCTGCTCTTCGCGACGCACCTGAGGCGTCGTCCCTGCTCGTCGCGACGCCCGCTGGGTGTCGCCCCTGCTCGTCGCGGCGCCCCTAAGGCGTCGCCCCTGCTCGTCGCGACGCACCTGAGCGTCGCCCCTGCTCGTCGCGACGCCCCCTGGGTGTCGCCCCTGCCCGTCGCGGCGCCCTTGAGGCGTCAACCCTGCTCGTCGCGACGTCCCCTGGGCGTCGCCCCTGCTCGGCGCGGCGCCCCTGAGGCGTCGCCCCTGCTCGTTGCGGCGCCACCTGGGCGCCGTCCCTGCTCGTCGTGGCGCCCCCTGGGCGCCGTCCCTGCTCGTCGCGGCGGCCCCGGGGCGTCGCCCCTGCTCGTCGCGGCGCCTCCCTCTGCAGCAGCTGCCTCAGAGCCCCGCCCTGCAGCAACTGCCGCAGAGCTCCCTGCCGCCGTCGCAGCCTCGCCCTACAGCAGCTGCCGCGGAGCCGCTTGCAGCCGTCGCGGCCCCGCCCTGCTGCAGCTGCCACGGAGCCGACTGCCGCTGTCGCGGCCCCGCCCTGCAGCTGTCCCGGCCCCGCCGTCGCCGCCGTCGTGTGCCTACCCTGCTCGCCCGGCGAGCGACTGCCTTTCCCGCCACTGGTGAGCACTTGCCTTACTAGCGCGCTGCCGCGCTGGCCTGCCTGCCCGTCGCGCCTGTCGCCGCCCAGCTGAGCTGAGCCGCCCAGCCGAGCCGTGTCGTACTGCCGGGCTGTGCAGCCCTACTGCTACTGCTACTACTGTTACTACTGCTCCTGGCGGTGGCCAGATGCAGCTCCAGCGACGTCCGCGAGAGTCCCTCACGCCCCAGCAGCTTCGTGAGTGGTACGCTAGTTGGGGTTGTAGGGGTGGCCGCGCTGCTACTGCTGCTACTGCTGCTACTGTTGCTACTGCTGCTACTACGGCTACTACTGTTACTGCTGCTCCTGGCGGTGGCCAGATGCACCTCCAGCGACGTCAGCGTGAGTCCCTCACGCCCCAGCAGCTTTGTGAGTGGTACGCTAGTTGGGGTTGTAGGGGTGGCTGCGCTACTACTACTGCTACTACTATTACTGCTTCTACTATGGCTACTACTACTACTGCTGCTCCTGGCGGTGGCCAGATGCAGCTCCACCAACGTCCGAGTGAGTCCCTCACGCCCCAGCAGCTTTGTAAGTGGTACGCTAAGAGTAGAGGGTCACGGAGTACTGCTCGCTGCCCGTACGTCATTCGCACTGGTGCTCGGGCTGGTCAGCCGTGCAGGACGGTTGGTCACACACAGTCTCGCTGCTTCGCCAGTCTGAGCGACGCCTCGCGTACAGAGTTTGGCGACAACGCTGAGCTTCCCTCCTGGCTAGAGCTGCTTAGGCACAGGGTAGATATCTTTGCTCTTGACTATGATACTATCCTCACTGCCATGTATGCATTGCCTACTAGTGGTGCGGGTGCCTGTTACCTGTGTGTGCCGCCTGACCCGAGTATAGAGTCTGCTGCTCTGGGTTCTGGTGCGGCTGCTGCTCTAGGTGCTAGTGAGTCTGCTGCTCTAGGTGCTAGTGAGTCTGCTGCTCTAGGTGCTAATGAGTGTGCTGCTTCAGGTGCTGGTGAGTCTGCTCTCTCAGGTTCCGCGTCGGCTCAGGTCTTGCACACTTTCACCCTTGACTCGGGTGCTTCCCGCTCCTTCTTTGCGACTGCACCACACTCACGCCGCTCAGTCGGCCAGTGGCAGTCTCCCTGGCTGACCTTTCTGGGGGTCCTGTCCTTGCACACTCCTCCATGGTTCTGCCGTGTCCAGCGATCTTGTCTGGCTCACTGTCAGGTCTCCACCTCCCCTCGTTCTCCACGAACTTGGTGAGTGGAGCTGACCTTCAGGACGTGTGGGTTGACCAGTTCACTCCTGGAGGTCAGCGGGTGACCCACTGTACGTGTACTCGGACGGGCCGACACCTGGCCACGTTTACCTATCAGCCTGGGTCGAGCGTGTACACCCTGACTACCGTGTCTCCTCCGGTTGCTGAGTCTAGTCAGGTAGCTGCGTCTGGTCAGGTGTTTGCTGCAGCGTCCCGGTCTGGTCCTGAGTCTGCCCCCTGCTTGTGTCGCCTCCTGTCTCACCAGACTCTCCTCTGGCACCACCGCCTTGGTCACCCCTCCCTGCCTCGTCTCCGAGGCATGGCCTTCCGTGTCCTTGTCACTGGTCTTCCCCGGTCTCTCCCTCCCCTCCCCCCGGGGCCTGCCCCTACCTGTGTTCCTTGCGTCGAGGGGCGGCAGCACGCCGCTCCTCACTCCTCCGAGTTCCCTCCGACGGAGGCTCCGCTGCAAACTCTTCACATGGACGTGTGGGGCCCAGCCCGCGTCCGTGGACAGGGTCACGAGCGTTACTTTCTGCTTGTAGTTGACGACTACTCGCGTTACACCACAGTCTTTCCCTTGCGTTGCAAGGGTGAGGTCCCTGAGGTGCTGATCGCCTGGATCCGCGCTGCCCGTCGTCAGCTTAGCGAGAGTTTCGGCTCGGACCTTCCTGTTCTACGTCTGCACTCCGACAGAGGTGGAGAGTTTTCCTCCGACCTTCTGCGAGCCTTCTATCATGCGGAGGGCATCCGCGAGACATTCACGCTTCTGGCCTCTCCTCAGCAAAATGGGATTGTTGAGCATGGTCATGGACGTCGCTCGTACGTCCATGATCCATGCGGCTGCTCCCCATTTTCCGTGGCCGTTCGCGGTTCAGTACGCGGCGCATCAGCTCAACCTCCAGCCCTGGGTCTCCGTGCCGAAGACCACCCCCACTCTGTGGTGGACGGGAAAGGTTGGCGATGCGTCTGCGTTTCGTGTCTGGTGATCTCGAGCTTTCGTCCGCGACTTGTCTGCGGACAAGCTGTCCTCCTGTGCTATTCCTTGCGGCTTCCTTGGCTTCCCCCCTTATGCGCCTGGGTGGCAGTTTTACCACCCCACCTCGCGCCGTGTTCTGTCCTCTCAGGACGTCACGTTTGACGAGTCGGTCCCCTACTACCGTCTCTTCTCCTACCGCACTGCCCCCCTCCCTCCCCCGCCGCTCTTCCTCGCGCCAGGTCCTCCCCCGGTAGACCCCCTCCCTCCTCAAGGTCCTGCTCCCTCAAGTGTGTCCTAGGTAGACGCAGTCGAGCCTGTCGAGGTAGCTGTCGACTCTGGTGTTGCTAGGGGTGCAGAGCCTGCGGGTGCCGGGTCTGGGGGTGCTGAGCGTGAGCATGTGGAGCCTGGGGGTGCTGAGTCTTGGGGTGCTGAGACTGGGGGTGCGGAGCCTGGGGGTGCTGTGTCTGGGGGTGCGGAGCCTGAGGGTGCTGAGCCTGGGGGTGCGGATTTTGAGGGTGCTGAGCCTGCGCGTGTGGAGTCTGGGGGCGTTTTGCCTGGCGGTCCTTCGGGTGCTTCGTCCCGTCGAAAGCCGATCTCTCCTTAGCAGCTGCGCGAGTGGTTTGCTCGGCGTTAGAGCCGTGCTACTAAAGCTGGTGGTGCTACGTGCACTGGAGGTCCTCCTGCTGCTAGAGCTGCTGGGGGTGCTCGTACTGGAGGTACGGGAGCTGCTGGGTCTGGTGGTGCCGCTGCTGCTGAAGCTGCTCGTGGTCCTGCTAGTGCTGGAGCTGCTGGAGGTGCTGCTGGCGCTGCTGGTGGCCCTGCTGGAGTTGGAGCTACCGCTGGTGCTGCAGCTGCTGGAGGTGTTGCTGGAGCTGCGGGTGGTGCTACTGGAGCTGCTGGAGCTGCTGGTGGTGCTGCTGGAGTTGGAGCTGGCGTTGGGGGTGCTGGTGCTGTTCCTGCTGGTTCTGGGGGTGCTGGGCGGCCGCGGCCGTACTTCGTTCCGCTCCTTGAGCAGGTTCTTGGTCTCCCGCCTTCTACTAGTCCTGCTCCTTCCTTAGAGTGTCCACAGCCTGTCCAGCCCGTATCACAGTTACAGCCGGCCTCCCCACTACCTGCTCCTTCTCCGTACACCGGTCCGACTGGAGGTCTTGCTGAGCGTCATGAGCCTGCGACTCGTCATGCGTCGCCTGTTTGTGCTGCTTGCACTAGTCGTCGTGGTTCGCGTCAACGTCCTCCTCCTGTCCCTGGCACGCACCGGATGACGCTGCGTCCTTCCACTGCTCCGCAGCGTGTCCCTCTGATGTCTCCTCTTGAGTCCTCTCTTCCTGCCCTTGCTGACCCGAAGTCTAACTCCCTTCGTGCTGCTCATCCTACTGTCATGCGTCTCCTTGCCAGTGTTGTCACTGACCCTTCTTTTGAGTCTGCTGCTGCGTCTGCTCTTGTTGCTGAGCTTGTCGACTTTGCTACTCGTTGTCGTCTAGACTACGCTGCTAGACTTGTTGCTGAATCTGAGACTGTCTGTCCTCCGTCCGTCGGGGGTGAGTGTGCTCTTGGCACGGACACCCTTGAGGACAAGCAGGAGGAGTTCCAGTGTTTGGCTGCTGCTTCACCTCATCTCGTGTCCATGCTGCTTACCCCTGAGGGAGACCCGGATGCATTAGACATCCCGACTCCGCGCTCTTACGCAGAGGCGGTTGAGGATCCCTACTCCTCTCAGTGGCAGGCAGCTATGGACGCAGAGATGGCTTCCTGGAAGTCCACAGGCACCTACATCGACAAGGTTTCCCCACCTGGGGCGAACATTGTCGATGGCATATGGATCTTCAGGGTGAAGCGGCCGCCGGGTTCTCCGCCTGTCTTCAAGGCGCGTTACGTGGCTCGTGGCTTCAGTCAGCGGCAGGGAGTTGACTACTTTCATACCTTCTCTCCCACCCCGAAGATGACCACTCTTTGGGTACTACTTCACGTCGCTGCTCAGCATGACTACGAGCTTCACTCTCTTGACTTGCACGAGGAGATTTGGCTACGTCGCCCACCTGGCTTCACTGGGTCGTTTCCTCCTGGTACCCAGTGGAGCCTCCAGCGGCCAGTCTACGGCCTCCGCCAGGCACCTCGTTGTCAGAACATCATAGCTTATTTATTTGTGTAGGCTATAGTGGGGTATCCCATAAGGGGTACAACCCAATTAGGGTTTCCTATATGTACTCACTTCATTCATAGTCATTTCACTCTCGTTCTCATATTCACATGGAATCAGAGCAGGTCCCCTCCTAGGGACTGTTCCTAGGGCCCACCGAAGCGAGCCTCGAGTCGCGCTCTCCCTTTTTTTTTTAGCGACCCGTCGTGTCGCCCCTAGCGGCCCGTCGCGCCGACCCTACGGTCGCGCCGAGCCGCCTTAGCGGCAGTGGCGCGCCGCCCTTGCAGCGGCCTGTCGCGCCGCCCTACCTGCGGCCCCGCCACCCTACGTCGCGGCCCCGCCGCCCTACGCCGACGGACCCGCCGCCCTACTCACGCGGCCCCGCCGCCTGTACTCCTGCGGCCCCGCCGCCCTACATCGCGGCCCCACCGCCCTACACCGACGGCCCCGCCGTCCTACTGACGCGGCCCCGCCGCCCTACTCCTGCGGCCCCGCCGCCCTACATCGCGGCCCCGCCGCCCTACACCGACGGCCCCGCCGCCCTGCTGACGCGGCCCCGCCGCCCTACTGACGCGGCCCCGCCGCCCTACTCCTGCGGCCCTGCCGCCCCTACGTCGCGGCCCCGCCGCCCTACACCGACGGCCCCGCCGCCCTACTGACGCGGCCCCGCCGCCCTACTCCTGCGGCCCCGCCGCCCTACTTCGCGGCCCCGCCGCCCTACGTCGCGGCCCAGCCGCCCTTCTTGACGGCCCCGCCGCCCTACTCCCGCGGCCCCGCCGACCTACTCTGCGGCCCGCCAGCCGCCCTACCTGCTGCCCTCCCGCAGCTCTACCTGCGGCCCACCCACCGCCCTACCCACGACCGCCGCGCCGCCCTGAACCAGCGCCACCGAGCCGCCCGACCGCCGGGTCGCCCAGCAGCCGAGCCGCCGAGCCGCCCCGCAGCCGAGCCGCTGAGCCGCCAAGCCGCCCAACAACCGAGCCGCCGAGCCGCCGAGCCGCCCAGCAGCCGAGCAGCCGAGCCGCCGAGCCGCCCAGCAGCCGAGCCGCCGAGCAGCCGAGCCGCCCAGCAGCCGAGCCGCCCAGCAGCCGAGCCGCCGGCCGCTGAGCTGCCCTACTTCCAGACCGCCCGACCTGCCCAGTCTGGTGAGCACAGAGCCCTTTTCACTGCACTGCCCTCACCCTACTGTTTGCGCTGCTAGGAGTCTATCGTCATGGCTACCCCTAGTGTCCTCGCTTTTGACGCTGAGGGTCGCGCCATTGACTTTGAGGTCTGGGTCGACGACCTGCAGCTGTTCTTACAGTGCGATAGGGCAGACGGTCTTTCTCTCTTTGACCTCACCTCTGGCGCCTCTCCTGCCCCTGCTGCTGATGCTGACCCCACTGTTCGCTCCCAGTGGGCCACGCGCGATGCTGCTGCACGTCTTGCTGTGCGTCGCCACCTCCCTACCTCTGAGCGTGCGCACTTTAGTCAGTACAAGAGTGCTCAGACCTTGTACGACGCTGTAGTTGCGCGCTACTCCTCCCCTGCCACTGCTGCACTGAGCCGCCTCATGCTACCCTTCCTCTTCCCTGACCTTGCCGCCTTTCCCACAGTCGCTGATCTCATTACGCACCTCCGCACTAGTGACACCCGCTACCGCGCTGCGCTTCCTGCTGACTTCTGCGCCAAGAACCCCCCCCCCCATGTACATCACTCTCTACTTTCTAATCACCCGCCTCCCTGACTCCCTTCGTGTAGTCCGGGACCACTTCCTCACGGTCTGTCCCACCACTCTCACAGTCGACAGCCTAGAGAAGGCCCTCCTAGCGGCGGAGAAGAGCATCGTCGCTGTAGGAGCCTCTCGAGGTGACCCCCGCGCCCCCATCTTGAGGGGTGTTCTCCTTCCCCTCTCTTGCCCTCTGTCGCCTCTGCCGCTGCGGCCGACCTCGTTGGTCTTGAGTCGGTCGGTGCGGCGTCTGCCCCTAGCGGGAGACGCCGCCCTGGCAAGGGCAAGGGGGGCAAGGGAGCGGGTGGGGCTAGCGGGGGCGGTGGCGGTGGAGGTGGAGGCGGCGGAGGGAGTGGGGGTGGAGGTGGAGGAGGTGGCGGGGGTGGGGGTGCTAGTGGTAGCAGTGGAGGCGGAGGCGTCGTCGGCGGCGGCAGTACTGGCGGGGGTGGCGGCGATGGCGGAGGTGGAGGAGGTGGAGGTGGAGGTGGTGGAGGTGGTCGGAGTGGCACTTCACATCGGAGCGGCACTGGGGGTGGTCAGCGCCAGCAGCAGCAGCAGCAGCAGCAGCGTTCTCGCGACGTCCCCACCCCTTAGCAGCTCCGTGAGTGGTACACGCAGCGTCAGCGTGGTGGGGGTCTTGGTCCCTGCACCTACGTCCTTCGCACCGGCGACCGCGCGGGTGAGCAGTGTGGGGGTGCCCACCCCACCCAGCGCTGTTTTGGCCGCCTGACAGACGCTTGGCGTCAGCAGTTTCCGGAGGCCACGGAGATCCCTGTCAGAACATTATAGCTTACTTATTTGTGTAGGCTATAGTGGGGTATCCCATAGGGGGTACAACCCAATTAGGGTTTCCTATTTGTACTCACTTCGTTCATAGTCATTTCATTCTCGTTCCAACTTTCTCATGGTATCGAGCAGGTTCCCCCGTGGGAACTGTGCTTAGGGCCCACCACATCGAACTTTTTTTCTGCCCGGAGCGCGCTCCGGGCCCTTTCTCTTACCTTTTTCGATCTGCCCTAACGGCCCCTAGACGCCCGCGTGCCACCCTTAGACGCCCACGCGCCGCCCGTCCTGGCCCCTAGACGCCCGCGCGCCGCCCTGAGACGCTCGCGCGCCGCCTATCCCGGCCCCTAGACACCCGCGCGCCGCCCGTCCAGGCCCCACGCCGCCCGCGCGCTGCCCTTCGAGCCCGCGCGCCGCCCGTCCAGGCCCCACGCCGCCCGCGCGCTGCCCTTCGAGCCCGCGCGCTGCCCTTAGTGCCTGCGTGCCGCCCGTCTCGGCCCCCCCTAGACGCCCGCGCGCTGCCCGCCAGGCCCCTCGACGCCGTGCGCCGCCCGATCCGGCCCCACGCCACCCGTGCGCCTCCCGTCCCGGCCGCGCACGGCCGTCCCGGCCCCCTCGTCGCCCGTGCGCAGCCTGTCCCGGCCCCGCTCCCAGCCGCCCGTGCGTCACCCGTCCCGGCCCCGCTCCCAGCCGCCCGTGTGCCACCCGTCCCGGCCCAGCTCCCGGCCACCCGTGCACCACCCGTCCCTGCCGTGAGCCACCGGCCCGAGCCGCCTGCGCAGCTGTGGAGCCAGGCCGCCGGAGCCGCCTGTGCCGCTGACCGCCCGAGCCGCTCGAGCCGCCCGAGCCGCCCCAGCCGCCCGAGCCGCCCGAGCGGCCCGAGCCGCCCGAGCCGCCTGCGCCGCCCGAGCCGCCCGAGCCACCTGAGGAGCCGAGCCGCTGGTGCCGAGGTGCTGCTGTTGCTGCTGGGCCGGCCGAGCTACCGTGTTTGCTGTGCTGCTGTGCTGCCCGACCCGTCCTGTCTGGTGAGACCGCCGGCTGCAGTCATGGCTACCCCTAGTGTCCTAGCTTTTGACGCTGAGGGTCGTGCCATTGACTTTGAGGTCTTGGTCGACGACCTGCAGCTGTTCTTGCAGTGCGATAGGGTAGACGACCTTTCTCTCTTTGACCTTACCTCTGGCGCCTCTCCTGCCCCTGCTGCTGATGCTGACGCCACTGTTCGCTCCAAGTGGGCCACACGCGATGCTGCTGCACGTCTTGCTGTGTGTCGCCACCTGCCTACCGCTGAGCGTGCACACTTTAGTCAGTACAAGAGTGCCCAGACCTTGTACGATGCTGTAGTTGCGCGCTACTCCTCCCCTGCCACTGCTGCACTGAGCCGCCTCATGCTCCCCTTCCTCTTCCCTGACCTCGCCGCCTTTCCCACTGTCGCTGATCTCATTACGCACCTCCGCACTAGTGACACCCGCTACCGCGCTGCGCTTCCTGCTGACTTCTGCGCCAAGAACCCCCCCCCCATGTACATCACTCTCTACTTTCTAGTCACTCGCCTCCCTGACTCCCTTCGTGTAGTCCGTGACCACTTCCTCGCGGTCTGTCCCACCACTCTCATAGTCGAAAGCCTTGAGAAGGCCCTCTTAGCGGCGGAGAAGAGCATCGTCGCTGTAGGAGCCTCTCGAGGTGACCCCCGCGCCCCCATCTTTGAGGGGTGTTCTCCTTCCCCTCTCTTGCCCTCTGTCGCCTCTGCCGCTACGGCCGACCTCTTTGGTCTTGAGTCGGTCGGTGCGGCGTCTGCCCCTAGCGGGAGACGCCGCCCTGGCAAGGGCAAGGGGGGCAAGGGAGCGGGTGGGGCCAGCGGGGGCGGTGGAGGTGGAGGTGGAGGCGGCGGAGGGAGTGGGGGTGGCGGTGGAGGTGGTGGCGGGGGTGGGGGTGCTAGTGGCGGCAGTGGAGGCGGGGGTGGTGGCGGCGGTGGCGGTGGGAGCGGAGGTGGCGGAGGCGGCGGCGGTGGAGGCGGCGGCGGTGGAGGCGGAGGCGGGGGTGGCGGTGGTGGAGGTGGTCGGAGTGGCGCTTCGCAGCGGAGCGGCACTGGTGGTGGTCAGCGCCAGCAGCAGCAGCAGCGTTCTCGCGACGTCCCCATCCCTCAGCAGCTCCGTGACTGGTACACGCAGCGTCAGCGTGGTGGGGGTTTTGGTCCCTGCACCTGCGTTCTCCGCAGTGGCGACCGCGCTAGAGAGCAGTGTGGGGGTACCCACACCGCCCAGCGCTGCTTTGGCCGCCTGACGGACGCTTGGCGCCAGCAGTTCCCGGAGGCCGCGGAGATCCCCCGCTGGGGAGAGCTGTCTAGGGCTGGTGTAGCTATCTTTGATCTTGATTTTGATGCTATCCTTGCTGCCATGTATGCTGTGACCATTAGTGATGAGGGTGACTGTTACCGGTGTTTCCCGCCCGACCCGGGCATTGGTACTGCTGCTCTTGGTGCCAGCGAGGCTTCTGCTCTAGGTGCCAGTGCGTCTGTGCTCTCAGGTACTGGTGAGGCTGCTCTCTCAGGTACTAGTGAGTCTGCGCTCTCAGGTACTGCGTCGGCTTCGGCCTCCCACACCTTCACCCTTGACTCTGGAGCGTCTCGCTCCTTCTTTCGGGACCGCACCACACTCACGCCGCTTAGTCGGCCGGTTGCGGTTTCCCTGGCTGACCCCTCTGGGGGTCCTGTCCTATCTCGCTTCTCCACAGTCCTCCCGTGTCCGGCGGCTCCCTCTGGCACCCTGTCTGGTCTCTACCTCCCCTCGTTCTCTACGAACTTGGTGAGTGGTGCTGACCTACAGGATGCGGGAGTCCACCAGTTCACCCCTGCTAGTCAGCGAGTGTCGCACTGCACAGAGGCTAGCACAGGTCGTCACCTGGCTACGTTTACCCGTCAGCCTGGGTCGAGCCTGTACACACTGACCACTGCTTCTCCTCCAGTTCCTGAGTCTGGTAGGGTCTCTTCTTCAGGTCAGGTGTTTGCTGCGGCATCCAGGTCTGGTCCTGAGTCTGCCCCCTGTTCGTGTCGTCGCCTGTCTCACGAGACTCTCCTCTGGCACCACCGCCTGGGTCACCCCTCTCTGCTTCGGCTCAGAGGCATGGCCTCCCGTCTTCTTGTGTCCGGTCTCCCCCGGTCCCTCCCTCCCCTTCCTCAGGGCCCTGGCCCTGCCTGTGTCCCCTATGTCGAGGGGCGCCAGCGTGCTGCCCCTCACTTCTCCCAGTTTCCTCCAACAGAGGCTCCGTTGCAGACGCTTCACATGGACGTGTGGGGCCCTGCCCGCGTCCGTGGACTCGGTCACGAGCGCTACTTCCTGTTGGTGGTTGACGACTACTCGCGTTACACCACAGTCTTCCCCTTGCGCAGCAAGGGGGATGTCACTGAGGTGCTGATCGACTGGATCCGCACAGCTCGTCTCCAGCTCAGGCAGAGCTTTGGCTCGGACTTTCCTGTGTTGCGCCTGCACTCGGACAGAGGCGGAGAGTTCTCCTCTGGCCTTCTGCGTGCCTACTGTCATGCACGAGGCATCCGTCAGACCTTTACGCTTCCGGACTCACCGCAGCAAAATGGGATTGGAGAGCGCCGCATTGGCATGGTCATGGACGTCGCTCGTACGTCTATGATGCATGCGGCTGCCCCCCATTTTCTGTAGCCGTTTGCGGTCAAGTACGCGGCGCATCAGATCAACCTCCACCCCAGGGTCTCCAGGCCGGAGACCTCCCCAGCTCTGCTGTGGACGGGGAAGGTTGGCGATGCGTCGGCGTTCCGGGTCTGGGGATCTCGGGCGTTTGTCCGCGACTTGTCTGCGGACAAGCTGTCCCCTCGTGCTGCTCCCTGCGTCTTCCTGGGGTTCCCCCCTGACGCCCCTGGGTGGCAGTTCTACCACCCCACCTCTCGCCGTATTCTGTCCTCCCAGGACGTCACGTTTGATGAGTCGGTACCCTACTACCGCCTCTTCCCCTACCGCATTCCGTCCCTCCCCCCACCCCCGCTCTTCTTGGTACCATGTCCCCCCCCGGTAGACCCCCTTCCCCCTGAGGGTCCTGCCCCTTCAGGTGTGTCCCAGGTAGACGCGGTCGAGCCTGTCGAGGTCACTGGTGACTCTGGTGCTGCTGTGGGTGCTGAGCCTGGGGGTGCTGAGACTGGGGGTGCGGAGCCTGGGGGTGCTGAGCCTGGGGGTGCTGAGCCTGGGGGTGCTGCGCCTGGGGGTGCTGAGCCTGGGGGTGCTGGGCCTGGGGGTACTGAGCCTGGGGGTGCTGAGCCTGGGGGTGCTGAGCCTGGGGGTGTTGAGACTAGAGGTGCTTTGCTTGGGGGTGTTGAGACTTGAGGTTCTTCGCCTGGAGGTTCTCCGGGTGCTTCGTCTCGCCGAGAGCCACTCTCCCCGCAGGAGCTGCGTGAGTGGTTTGCCCGGCGCTAAAGGCGTGCTGCTGGTGCTGGAGGTTCTTCAGCTGCTGAGGGTGCTGCTGCCGCGCGTCCCGGAGGTGCTCGTACTGGGAGTACTAGAGCTGCTGGGCCTGCGAGTTCGACTGGAGCTGGTGCTGCTGAGGGTGTTGGCGCTGAGACTACCACTGGCGGTCTGACTGGCAGTGCTCCTGGTGCTGCTGGGGGTTCTGGGACTGCTGGGGGTGCTGCTGGGGGTTCTGGAGCTACTGGAGGTGCTGCTGGAGATGCTGCTGGAGCGGGTACTTCTGCTGGGGGTACTGGTGCTGTCCCTGCTGTTTCTGGCGTCGCCACGCGGCCCCGACCGTACTTCGTTCCACTCCTGCAGCAGGTTCTTGGTCTTACACCTTCT